TTAGTGAGACCCGTATTGTTAATTTTACATATTGTAACTTTAAATTAAAAGTAAACGAAAAAATGTATAATAAAGTTGTGATTGTTGCAAGGAACATATTTTACCTAATAATTTTTTAATACTATTAGTTTGTGATACATAATATATTATTTTTTCTGCCATAAAATTTAGCTTAAGTTATCACAGGAAACACCTTTCAAATAAATATTCGTAAAGCTCTTTTTCTCTTTTAAATTTTGAATGTTTTAGAATTCTTCCAGTATTTATTTTATGGATGTTTTTTCAAAACGTGTAATCTGATTTAAATATTTGTTTTGTGTAATTTATATAGTTATGACAATAAAACGTTTTTGAATTGTAAGATTGTCTTTTCTTATTGTAATTAAGAAATAAAGAAGCTTTGTTAGAAAGAAGTAAAATGGTGACAGTCATCGTTGAATAACAAATGACTGAGAAGTTTTAATTTACCTTTTGAATCGCTGAATGCAACGTGACGGAAAATACAGTCGACCCCCTCTATAACACCGTTGATAATTCCGTTTTATATAAATTCCGTGTTGTACGAGTCACTTACATTTTACAAATACGTGTGCCGGGCTGTGAACGGCTCACGTATTTGTAGAATCTAAGTGACTCGTACAACATGGAATTCATATAAAACGGAATTATCAACGGTGTTATAGGCGGGTCAATTGTACTCAGAGGTTGATATCACATTATTTTATTTCTTATTTAGTAAAAAGAAAAATCTATATGTACAAACTAGTGTTTCTCAAACGGGATTCCCGGATCCCGGGATTCCGGTTGTTTTTTNTTGAATTTTCGTCGATGTTAAGCCTAACAAAGACTATTGTATCGTTAAAAATTATTTTTTTATTTTGTACAAAGAAAATAAATATATTGAAAAATATAAAAATAATAAAAAAATTATACTTCAGATGTTAATTTAGTATCAAAAACGTAAAATATTTGAGTAGCCCAAGACATAGCCAAAGATTGAAGCGCCACAGCACCGGCGAAAATTTAAATTTGCCAACTGGAATTCTTTCGGATGATTGACTTTCGGAAAATTGACGCTTTATTGTAATACAATTTGTTATACTGCAGTGTTGTTGCCACGGGGATTCATTTCTATTTAGTGAGATTGCCGCTTCATGTTCTTTCAGTCTCACTTCAAGTTTTCTTCTTGTTTCTCCAATGTAATATTTCTGTTCCGTACATGTAAGAAGTAGCGGGAGTAGTATATAGGTTGATGTGTACCATCAACCTATATACTACTCCTGCTACTTCTAAATCAGATTTAAAATAGTGAATTTCACTTGTATTTCTTGAAAGATTTTTTTAAAGAAAAATTTTTTAGAATTTATTATTTTTAATATCTTGATGTAATCAATGAACCCACAAAAAATATGATAAAGTTGTTATACCAGAAAATTTTAAAGCTGAAAATATGCCTGTAAACAATGCATAATATAAGATATCTGATTATTTAATAACAAGTATGGAACAAACCTGAAAAATCTGTAACAAATGTATTACATCACTATGATCCAAAGAATGTCCTCTATTAGAATAATCAAAATTAGTTGAAATGATAAGTTAAAAAAAATTAAAAATTCCATGTTTTCTTGTAATAATAAAACTTTTAATATAAAAGATATCTTCCACCAATATTATAATGTGGTAGAAAATCGGAACATTGATATAAAAATGTTTTATTTGGAAAAATTTAACAAATACAGTAAAGCCTCGATTATCCGACCTAATTGGGGACTGGGGTTGGTCGGATAATTGAAAAGTCGGATAACCGAAAAGTATGAAAAAATCCATTATTAGTGTAGTATATTATTATATCCCATGTAATTAGTATATTAGTATATCGCTATTAACCTACTTTGCGTTGAATTTTCATCGATGTTAAGCCTAACAAAAATTTTTTAAAATAATAATCGTCGCTATTGTATCGTTAAAAATTAGAAAGTTAAGCCTCGTTTAAATACTGGCTCCCTTTCATGGTCGATCCAGTGTTGCCAGCTAAAACACGTAAAAATAATATTAAAGTAGCCAAGACATAGCCAAATATTGTAGCGCCACATCAATAGCGGACATTTGAAATTTGCCGACTAAGACGGTCGGTTAACCGAGGGGTCGGTTGATAGAGGATCGGATAATCGAGGCTCTACTGTATATTAAAAATGACCATATTCCAGATTGTCATAAATTAAAAGAAAAAAATTATGACAAGATTTACATCTTTCGTGTTAAAAACAAACAGCAAAAGAATTATAAGAAATTTAACAAATCCAAATGCAAGTAAATCCACGAGTAAGATACAAAATTAGCGATATTCTATCCCCCATATTCACCAACACAAGTTTGATTATTGATGTAATAAAATACGGAACTGTTACATATAAAAATGTATTGTTCATTTAATAAATTTTTATATTTTATCCGCATAGCCACTTTATTTCGGTACGCTTTATTACTATGAACTTATGTAATTATTATGCATATATAGAAAGCTTGTAAAAAATTTTATTAAATTACTTTTTATCATACAATAATGTAATATAGATACAAATATGATCATTTGTATTTGGTTCATTATTATATTAAAGTACTTCAATATAATAGCCTGGATGTTAAAAGTTTTACGTAGTGAAATATCAAAATAACATATAAAGAAAAGAAACACATCTTTACTCTAGCGAGTGTAAGAACAAACTACTGTAACTTTATTTTATTTAATTAAATTAATTAAAGAAAAAAAAACGATAGTTCTTACAGTATAAAGACGGGACTTTAAATGAAAATACAAAAAAACTATTAATAATAAAACCCTCAAAAGCTTTCCCTGGAGAGAGGAGAACGGTTACATAAAGCCAACGTTTGCATGTAGCATGAGCACGCGCAACATTAAATCCTGTCAAAGTAGTAAATACAGTAGTAGTTTCGACAAACCGAATATCCATTTCATTAGCGAAGTTGCGGCCGAAGTTTTCATCTGTAAGACATCAACGTCGAACGTCGCGCGCCTATCTACAAGATAGCGGCTCTCGACGTTCGACGTTAACGTTTTTGAGATTAAAACTTCGGCTGTTAACTACTGAATGATTTCTTGCGTTTGCTTTAAAATAACGTTTGAAATTTCCATCTACAGAATGAATAAACAAAACTAATTTTATATATAAGAAATACTAACGCTAGAGATTTAAAACTTATCGAGCCCGTAAGATTTTTCCATTTGTCGTACTCTTGAATAAGAAAACAAAAAAAATGCTTTATTAAACTGAAATAATCGTGATTTCTTAATGTAAACCCATAGACTACGTGATCACAGTCCAACAACATGGCGATGACACGTGTACTCTAGGTACTCTAGTGGCACTGTACATTACATTCCAAAATATTTATTTGTAGTGAAGTTTTAATACGATATTATTCCCGGTAAACTGTATTGGAGTAAAACAGCATTGGAAATTTAACGGTTAATTTTATGATAAAAATATTTACAAAAATGAAAGTTTCTTTCAATTACATTACAGACGGCGCTACTGAATTTCTTCCAGTTCGAAAAATGTTCGGTTACAACGGAATCGCTAAAAGACATTTGAGCTGACGACGAGAAAGAAGAAGAAATATATTTTGTGTTGTTTATTTATTTTGGAGTAGGCCAATTCTCCCGAGGAAAAACGGAAGAAAAGTTGTCGGCCATTCGTCTTTTTAAGAGAAGAACATTTCACTCGGTAAGTTCAATCTTTTCGAAAATAATAGAAATATTTCCTCGATGCGGATATTAAACCGAATGTAATTTGGCTTACGAAGATTATTGCTGAATTTCGAAGAGATCGGCCCACTCGTTTGAGAAAAAGAAAAGAATGAATCGAATAATTCCATAATTAATAGATCATTAAAATGGACAACGGATTCAAATGTGGATTGGCCTCGGATTGTTCACATTTTACAATTGATTTTGATGGTTCGTGACTATTTGAGTTGAAAATAATTATTTATAATAGTTTCGAGAGAATTCATTTTTTTCAACATTAAAAGATGAAAGATGAATGAAAGATTATTTTCAGAAATTTTATACCTACAAATTCTGAAAAAATAATTAGACATTATTGACAGAGGGTTGTCCTTTCAGCCGTACGACGAAATGAATGCAAGCATTTGGAATTCTCGTCCACACAGGTATGTTATTTCTTTCTTCGACCCTTTGACCGTCGCCATTTTATTTCGACAATCCATAGTCTGGGTGTAGATTATTATAAATTAACATAATTAAAAGTCTTGATCAAAGGAGAAAACCTCGTTGACGATTTCACCAGAAAGAAAGAAAGAAAAAAAAAAAAACAGAAGGAAGATTTTAACGAAGCGGAAGAGGAGACTTCTCAGGTAACATTTGATCATGTATCGAATTCCCCTGGTTCTTGTGGACTGTGGTAACGAGTATTGTGGTATTTTCCGTGTCTTTCTTGACTGAAGTTTATTAAATTAGTAAGTAGATTTTTACTTTTTTCCTAAGGTAATTTTAAAAACACTTTTCAAGAAACGATTGAGTTTGTATAACTTTTACTTCTACAATGAAAGCTGTAAAATAGGAAAACCGAAGGGAAGTTAATTCTTCATAAAATACACTTATATCTAATTTTCTTATTTTTAAAATTTACAGATAAAACTACTTTGAATTTATTTCATAGGTATAAATATATTGTTCCTAAATAAGAAACATCAATTTTAAATTCGTTTCATTTTCAGGTTTTAAATTGAGCCGTAATTTTATTGCCTGAAATAAATGTCCAAGGAAGAATTTCTAAAATTACTAGTTTAATTTTGAAATCTTTAAATTTAACTTAGAAAATAATGTGTAACGATATGCTTGTATCTGATTTCATTCGAGACTTTTTGTTGCTTTCAGATTCACTACTTGCCAATCAAAAACATTCATGTTAACTAAGTGAAGAATGGTTTCCAGAAAAACACAAGAATAGTCGATGGATGTGTTGGACTTCTGTCGTCAACGGAACACTAAAATTGAAGCGAGTGTTGTGAAATCATTACAAGAATATATCGAGAAAGAAAACACCTTTCATGCAAGTGAAGAAAAAGAGAAAAATCAAAGAAGATATTTGAAAATTTTTTTTTCAAATATATATTTTTGTTTTTACAAAATACAATCCATATAAATTGTTTTCATTGAAAAATGTATAAATTAAATTTGTTATTAATTTGTGATATTGTTTTAGTGTGTGGGTAATATGTGTGAATAGTTAGTGTTTCTAGTGTAACGGGTTCCTTCGTGTAGGATTAAACTTTATTCAAAGAAAATTATTAGAGAAAGAAAGATTCTTTTTCTATCTGCATCTTACACATTAACAGTACTTTTAAAATAGTGTGATTTTAAATTTAGATATTTGATTGGGAATAAATTGAGAGTTTTGATCTTTAAACATTGGTTTTACTATTTTTATTTATCGTATTTTACAGGTTTACACATTGAGAAGGGAAAGAATGCGAAGTATGAATGTGACAGTTGCAAGAAAATATTCATTTCGAAGAATGGATTTATATGTCATCGAAGGATTCACAGTGGAGAAGGACTCTTATCTTGCGAATTCTGTACTCGTCAGTTCAACTATTCCAACAGGCTACGGGACCACGTCAAGACTCACACAGGAGAAAAACCCTTTATCTGTGATCACTGCAAACGGAGTTTTACACGAAAAGATTTACTCATTCAACATCTGCGAGTTCACACAGGGGAGAAACCCTTTACCTGTGATCATTGCAAACGAAGTTTTACACAGAAAGGAAATCTGATTAAACATCTGCGAATTCACACAGTGGAGAAACCCTTTACCTGTGATCATTGCAAACGGAGTTTTACACAGAAAGTAACTCTGATTGAACATCTGCGAACTCACACAGGGGAGAAACCCTTTACCTGTGATCATTGCAAACGGAGTTTTACACAGAAAGGAAATCTCATAGAGCATGTTCGGCGTCACACCGGAGAAAAGCCATTCTCGTGTAATTATTGTTCAGCAAAATTCTGTTCAAAGTCGGAATTGAATCGTCATGTTGTTAGACTTCATAAGAATGAGAATTTCAAATAACGATGACTTTTATGAAGCAAAATGCGAAAAATCAGATGGATGAAAATGATTGACCCATTGTATTTGTTTGCAAAAATCATTTCAACACTCGTACGTATTAAGATTTTATTGAACACAAAAATAGAAAATTAAGTTGTATTTTCTTGGTTTATAAGTTTTACATTTTTATAAAACCTTTGATTTTGTGGGCATAAACAAAAAATATTTTGTGAATTATATTTAATTAAATAGAAGTGTAATTAAAGTAGAAAAAATACGCCGTCTGAGTACCTGTGTGATTTACTTAACACTGTAGAATCCATTTCTCTCGATCACGAATACAGTGACACCTCGTACTTGAACGCTAAATTCGACGAAACTTCACTTGGAGTTTGAACTGCTCCGTAGCTAAAAAAGTGCTCTGGAAGCGTAAACACAATCTGTCCACACGAGTATTTTTTTTTGTATAACTACATCAAACATCGCATATATATATAGAAAAACCGCCAAACGATCGCTTTAAATAATCGGGCTATAACTCCACTAATAATTCAGACTTACGGAGTGTTCCACTAACATTGCCTAATCGTGGTATTTGTAAATCCAGTTATTACACTAATACCTAGATTACTGACGCGAGGATTCCACAAACAAATTTTAACGAAAAATTACTAAATCTCGAGATATTAGGAACACGATTAGTGGATAGAAAAAAGGCGACACTAGCGGTGTTAAAAAATTTTCTTACACTTTACTCGATTGGATATTTTGGAAAAATTTCATACGCGCATAGATAAAAATATGGTATACAACAAGAAACCAAGTCGACAACCAGATTTTTCTCATCGAGAAACAAAATATTGTAGAATTGAAAGCCTGCAAGAAAAAGAATGTCTATAAAGAAGAGAACACCGATTAAAAATTAAATTACCATAAGAAAAATTAAGAAGCATTTAAAAATACCATTACCGTATCTTTATACTATGAATTTTGGTTTTTGTTATTTGTATTCTAAAATTAAAGGAATGTCTAGAACATTTTATCTATATCTATATCTATATATAAAAATGGACATGTGTGTCCCTATATTTCACTTTTCCGCCAAAACTACACATCGCACGTGAATGGTGTTTGTATGTGGTAGTAGCCCCAAGTCTCCATTCGTGCACCAGGGGGGTTCTGTCTTGATAGCTATAAGGGTGTGGGAGATATGGGGCTGAAAGTGGTTGAAAGTGGTTTTCTATTTCGAATGTTATGTTCGAATTTGTTCGAATTGAATTCGAACAATATTCGAATTAAATTCGAACATAAAATTCGAATATTGGTTCTATTATAGAACGATTGTAAACGTTCCAGAAACGTTGAAAATAGTTCGTTTGACTTGACGTGAACAGGAGACGTTCAGAAATAGAATCGGGACCAGGTGCCGTATTCTGGTCACTGTCTCTGGTCTTTCGTCTCTCACAAGCCGGTCGTGGATTGGCTAATCCAAATGATTAGACAATCAGCGACCGGCTTGTGAGAGACAAAAGACCAGAGACAGTGACCAGAATACGGCTCCAGGTCTCTAATTAGTCTGGAAACGGGGGACCTAATTCTTGCATTTTGTGAAAACGGGTAAGATTGACTATAATGTAATTATCTTAATCTTCGCTATCGTTACTTTTTGCCCACAAATAAACACCCAGCGAAGAGGGTTCTTGCAGCTAGTTAATAAATAAAATTTTCATAGTTAATTGTTTGAAAATTATTTATAATTCTTATTCAATAATTTGTTCTTATTGCACATTCAAGTTTAATGAAAAAAACAGAATTATTGCAGGGGTCCAAACTTTCTATTGTATAGGATTTTTTTACATAGCATAAAACTTTTTAACAATTAATAGGCAAATTTAACGATTAAGAATTTAAATTAATATTTTAAAGGAAAAATACAAAAGGATTAAATTTACAGTAATTTTTATTCATTTTTGCTTTCAAGTTATGTACCTTTTAAGTGGAAATATGTTTCTATCTACTAATTTACTAAAAAACTAGAAACTGAAAAAAGATCATTCTCCAATCTATTTTTATTATAGTTTATTATTAAATACAATACTTACTATATTATTTGCATTGAGTTTAATTAATTTATCAAACACAACTTATAATCATTTTGATACATATATATATATATTTTATTTATACAAAAAAAATTAAATTACTTTACAAAAGTCTTCTTTGAATTTTATGATGCTTTATTTATGAATATACAAATTAAAATCTGTATCGTTAAAATCTGTATCTGTATTAGAAATAACACGATGACGCTATCTTTTTTAATGTTTAAATTTTAATTTTAATGAAGTGAGTATAAAATACGCCATTTGCCAAAAATAGTCGACACTTTCCGTCAAAAAATAAAAGGAATATAACCAAAACTTCCTCTGGATTAAACAGAAGTCATATACACACAAACATACAGTCTACGTCTTTTATGTTGGTAATTCGTAATTCTAATTGAATTAAATTTTTCACGTGTTTATTTCACAATTCCACGTTAAATCTGCAGTGGTAATGAAATATACCAGATTAAAATTACAATATTTTAATATCAATTGTACACAATTTTGAAATATATGGCTAATAATGATGTATGTGCACATTAATATCATTTAAAATAGCGTTATACATTTTGTCATAAATTTTTTCATATAAATTTCTATTATTGTAATTGTCTTCCTTAACATTTTCAGTACTTAATTGATGAAATGTTGTTTACTGATTGTAAATTTAATTAGAATGTTCCTATATTTTAAACATTCACATTAAGCACGAATAATAAAATTTATTTCGATAATGTGCAGAATAAAAAAAAATGTAATTAAAATTTTATTAATCTTTTTATCGTGTTGTTATTTCTTCATTTATTTAGGCTGCTTCATTTAAAAGGCTGCTTGTCAGCCTCTACCATCTCTGATTTCTTTTTCTTCGATCCTCCTTCTCTGGCTGCTTGTGTTTCTTTGCTTTCTCTTTTTTCTGATTCCTGTAAAAAGAAATATCATTGTGACAAAATTAGAATTTTTGTATTAATTTTAATGTTTTATTTTGTTAAAATTCTTATACTTAAATACAAATATTTTTTACATCAGAAATATTATCACAGCATTATTGCGTATAGAAATTGTTCATAAATTTCAATAAATTAATCTCTTTAACCGGCGATTGAGTTTTCCATAAAATTTTGTAACATTGATTATGGCATTTCTAAAAGAATGTTTTTCACATAATTTCCAAAATATTAAATCACAATTCATCAATATCATAAAATTCTCGTCTTTTTCTGTTGTAATAAAATGTCTTGTAGATGAAAAACAAATTATAATAGAATGAAGCAATACTTTTATTTTATTAATATTCTTACTGTTTATTCAAATATAATAAACTGTGACCTTTTTAAGTAAATAATTTTTTTTTTATTTTTCTTCTTTTTGCAATTGATTAAATTACATTTTTCTCTAAGAGCACCTTTGGTACTCCATACTTCGCGAAATCGATGTTTTTCTTATTAACACACGAAGAGTCTAGGCAATGTACCAAATATCATTTTGTATGTTCTGTTTAGTCACGTACACAAATAGTTTTCTGGTATACGGCTGTAAAAATGTCCCTCATTTGTTCCTAAGTGATAATACTTGGTAATTTCAGCAGCTAATATCATTGCCAATATATTATAAGGATCCCGTCTTGCCCTGTTCATATCTGTTGTTTTTACTTTATTGCATTCTCTGCTTTTGTTAGTCAAATTTCAGTCCGATATTTTTTCAATTTTGTGGCTTGAGCTTCTAACCTTGCATTTGCCTTCGCTCGCTTCTTGTCAACATCTTTCTGTTCTTGTTGTAGAAACACAGTTCACTTTCACACTACACTGTTCTTATATTGACAAATTAGGAATATTCACATGAGAATTTATAATGACGGCTGTTGATTGTCAATACTGTTTGTAAAATATATTCCTTAGATCTTTGCAATTAGCAATGATGTTGAACTAATAATTCAATTATTACTTAAGCTAATCTTCGCTGCAACCGTCTGCTACAGCATTATTAAGAATGGATATTGTCTTCAGTCTAACATTAAGGGTAAACCAAGCATGGCTTTATCAGTGCTATTTAACGCCTCGATAATATAATTTGTCCTTCATGAACTGCACAAATCTTTATCTGTTGGTTCAGTGCTGAATTTTGTAACTTTCTAAAAAAATATTACTCGACGAGACTTCACTATTTATCAAATTTGTTGTATTCGAAGGGCTATTGTGCCTAATGTTCGGGAAATTTGATTAATTAATTAAGTATGATTTATCATATTTTCCGACATGAACTGACACAAACGGCAAATTATATATACCGCTAATTACTATGTAATTTACAGTCGTTTAATTAAGTTTCTTTCGTTTACAATATTGTATGAGAGACTAACTATGGCTTGTTGTTAGGCCATTTACAATGATTTTTCTGCAGTGAAGCTTTGAATTTAGTTCATATAAATCATTTGCGATTATGCCACTATCTGAGCACTAAATGAAACACTTGATTCGAAGTTAACAACGAGTCATTAATTACAGCAATCAGGTTACATAAATTCCATACATTCAAACAGTTAATTGTAAACTGTTAAATTTAAATCATAAATTAAAATCTACAATTCTATTTAATTAAAACATGAATTGTTAAAAATGCAATGTGAGGTATTGGCTTGTAAACAAAAGCAGAATTCAAGAAGCGCCGGTATCGCTAATTTGATTCAAGGGTGGTCCAGTCGTAAACAACTTGCAAGGTGGTAGTAAACAAGTTGGTGACCACCCTCATCCGATTCAAGCTTACCTGGGTGAAAGCTCTTTGCAATGAATAACTGTAATTGGTTGGAATTCCTGCCCAAAATGTCCTTAAATTAGAGAGCGAGCTGGAGAGAGGAAAAGAAAGGGCTTTGAACTGGTAACACGGAAGTCTCAGACACTTGGAAAGTCCGCTGAGGGTTAGATAGAGAGAGCGATTATACTCCACTGCGGGATATCTCTGGGACGGGTAAATGCTGAGACCGGACGAATCGCAGTAGAACCAATCCACAGAGGCCACTCCAAAACTTAATTGTTCTCGAAAGCCAAACTAGTACTCGTACGTGAAGCACCACGCCTTGAGTATCCTGTGTTTTTTTTTCTAACTCGTATAGTCTATATATATTTTGTAAATATACTGTCTGTCTTGATTGTGGAAGTGAGCTTTCATCGAACCAACATCAGAACAATATCTAGTAGTGCGTAATTTCCGAACCAACTTTAGAAGATGGACTTTAGGGAGGAAACTTCACTGAATTAAAACGTGGATTCTTAAAAGTATAATTTATTTTTAAAGTATGAATAGAATAAGTACCGTTGACGTGCAAGGAATGTCTTCAATATGGCAATGCTTATGTTCTAACCATTTCTCATTCGACCGAGTACTGAACGAACATAAATGACATTGAAATACTATTACCGACAATCTGGGAATATCGTCTTTGTGGTCTGCTTTACATTGTTCATCATCCTTGTTATTGTTATTTGTACTTGTTGTTGTTTCAGACGATGTTTTATTAGAAGAGGACTTTAAAAATTTTTGTTCATTGTCCTTTTGTTGAGATTGCTGGAAAAGAAAAAAAATATCAACGATGAGTAAACCAGCAAAACAGTTTTATATTATTTCTGCTTTAAAGCGAAAAACTTTTATTAATAAAATTATATAAATGTTATAAATAAATATTGTAAAGTTCTCTCCCGCTTCCTCCTTTCGCAACTGCTTAAAGTTAGAGCAAGTTCTAATATCTTGTTTTGGGCTCGTTTATTTCGGCTACTCGGACGAATTATCCAAAACTATTTCCAGCGCATCTCACCCAAAATCATACATATTCGAACCTTCAAACATTTTCCAAGTCGTATTAAACAATTATTGTATGCTGCTTAAATGTTTCGGTGCTTCACATTTTACATACTTACCCACTTCACACATTCATTTCGACCCAGGGACGAATAATCTAACCAAATCCGATAAAACTAGAAAGCAAAATTAAACCTTTCTTTAACACACGTATCAAAATACCTGACTTTTATAGAATATTTTATGCTGTTTTCAAATATATAAACCGGTTTATTCCATCATGTCTAGTTTTTTTGACAGCCACTTTAAAAGAAAAAGGTATTTATTTAGACACAATGCATACACTTATTGATTTATCTTTTATAAAATGGAGAAATGTTCCACCCACACAAGAAACAATCAAAATTTAGTATAATCAATTAATAATGCAACGACTTTTAAATCACAACATATAATCAAATTGTACTTTTGAAAATGACTTTTTTTTCAAGTACGACTTTCATATTTTCATAGGTTTTTTTATTTTTTGTTGAATAAGCTAATGGCACAGAATAAAATTTGTTTCTATTGAGTAAAAGCACAGCCTCAAAGCTAATTTTAAACGAATCAATGAACAGTCTCCATTTTGTGGTATTATGTTTATTATCAAGTGCATTCATCACAGCACTAATATTATTGCAATAAACCAAACCACTTTCTTCAGAATACTTATCATGAAAATCTTTTTAACCATTACGAAAAAAACACACCTTAGTTGTCTGATGAAGTAAATGACAACGGTTTAGTGAAGAAACTAAAAATTCAGCCTGTATTTTAGACACGTTCAGATGTCTAAGAAGTTCATTTAGCTCGCCTCGAGTTAATAAATAAGGCGTTCGTTTCAAAATCAGGATATTTTCCCTCGTTTTCGACTTCTTCATATCTTAAATCTTCCCCAGTAAAATGTTCTGGCAGTGATGATACAGGTATATTCTAACAATGAGGAACTGGCCTCATAGCAGATGGTAAATTTAGGTACCTCACGGTTGGTTTAGATTTACTAGTTATTCCTTTTACGGTAGTCAAACAAAAATAACAGTGCGTAACATGATTTTTTGGTTTACGCCAAACTATGGGTACTGCAAAAATCAAATGTCGAGAATAGTCTTTTTGCCCACTCTATCAGATGTTTTACACAAATTGAACATATGATATATGTCCACTGCAAGCGGTAAAAAAAAGTTTCTGTGGATGGCCAGACATGAGGCCAAAATTTATACCTATGATTACGGAAAATCAGAAGATGATAGAAAAATTTCGATCCCATGGTTAATACAAAACGTCCTATTAGACACAATTTCTTTTTTCCGTGTGCCAAAAATTATGTTAAACAGTGTAATTTATAAGGCGGCACGTTGACCTAATGTAACCAAACATATGAATTTTATGTGTTAACAACGAGTTATATATGTACAGAGTGTTTCATAAGTTTGGATCTATAGCAAATATTTTTATAACTGAATGTTTTAACACAAATAAAATGAATTTCCGAGTCATCGTTTTTTAATTATTCGCTAAATGTTTCTGTAAATCCACAAAACAGCTAATTTTGTAAAACAATGTAAATATTGCTACACTTGAGTACACTAAAATCCAAATGCAAATATATACCTGCATAATTATTCAATACAAACAGAAAAACAATTCGATCGCCATTAATACTGACTCAGACGTAACGAGTACAAATAAAGTTTTATAAATAAAACTGTCAAATGTCTGAAGTAATATTGAATTTTTATACTTTGAAATGTGTAGAATTAATTATAATATCCTACTTGGAATATTTGAAATTACACAGAAACATTGTGATATCGAATGACCCCAACCTCTTAGGAAAAGTTTGAATTTGCGCGTGATTATCGATGTTTTTAGACATAGAATTTAAAATCGTTGTATATTTTAATAGAGATATTACCTTGTTAATTACAGTCGACCCCCCCATAACACTGTTGATAATTCCGTTTTATATGAATTCCATGTTGTACGAGTCATTTAGATTTTACAAATACGTGTGCCGGGCTGTGAACGGTTCACATATTTGTAAAATCTAAGTGACTCCTACAACATGGAATTTATATAAAACGGAATAATCAACAGTGTTATAGGGGGGTCGTACGATATAACTTATATACTCAGAAAATCGAAAGGAACAAATGCTAAGGTTAAGAATATTGAAACACTGTGCTCTCGTTAAATAAGTGAAGTTATTATTGTAATGATTTCACTCTAACACACGATTGTGTGTTAAAACTTTAGTCATTAACATTTTTATATACTTACTTCGGAGCCAGATGAAGTTTTCTCTTTCGAATGGATTCTTTTGATGTGTCTGTTTAAACTACTTTTGTCATTGAAAGTGCCGTTGCAAAAAATACACGAAAATGGCCGTTCTCCGGTGTGAATTCTGAGATGACGTCTTAAATCAGCGGGAGATGGACAAACTTTAAGGCAAAAATTACATTTACGGCTTATTATCATCGGGTCGTTTGGTGGAATCTAAATTATACAATAAATTTTTAGTTTATTGCTAACAATATATAAAAACATAAAACGTAACTTTTAAATGCAAATACTTCTTGTCAAGTATTTACGAAAAAGTTTTGAAACGTCCACGATTTATTTTATTGTGATAATGACATAATTAAAAGTAATATTTACTTTAGATAAAATCTCATCACGATGCTGTCTGTACATGTGTTGTTCTAACTCGTTTTTCCTTTTATAGCTATGTTNAAAAAAAAAAAAAGGTCAACAGGTGTAGCAGTCCAACCGACTCGTGGACTGTCCGGACGGTAGCACTGTCATTTAGACGCCTATGCACTGATCGAAAATAAACATACATGCATACACTGTAATTTACTGTGGAGAACACTCATTTTATCTGTAAAATTGATTGCAACGAATTGTGCAACAAATGAACTTGCCAAGACAGACTATAAAACATTAATTTTCTATGTAATATTCTTAATTGCAAAGAAGCCAAATCTGGCAATGTTGCTCAGAACTGACTAAAGCGCCACTTGTAATCGTCCAATGCGCCAAGTTTGGCGCATGCGCCACGGTTTGGCCACCCCTGCAGTAGAGTATTGATTATCCGAAAGAATTCCAGTTGGCAAATTTAAATTTTTGCCAGTGCTGCGGCGCTGCAATCTTTGGCTATGTCTTGGGCTACTCAAATATTTTACGTTTTTGATACTAAATTAACATCTGAAGTATAATTTTTTATTGTTTTTATATTTTTCAATATTTTAATTTTGTTTGTACAAAAGAAAAAAATAATTTTTAACGATACAAGAGTTTTCGTTAGGTTTAACATCGACGAAAATTCAACGCGAAGCGACACGCAACGGAGAAAAATTTTAACACGGGATAAATTAATATATTCTTTCGTACATAATCGGTTATCCGAAACATCGATCTTCCGAACAATACCAGTCCCCAATTGATTCGGATAATCGATGCTCCACTGTACAGTCGACCCCCTATAAGATCGTTGATTTTTCCGTTTTATCTGAATTACATGTTGTACGAGTCACTTAGATTTTACAAATACGTGTGCCGGGCTGTGAACGGCTCACATATTTGTAAAATCTAAGTGACTCGTACAACATGTAATTCAGATAAAACGGAAAAATCAACGATCTTATAGGGGGGTCGACTGTATATATACATATATATCTTCTGTATTGGAGAAACGCATGTGAGAGAACAAATAGAGTAACGCTATTTGTGTACTTTGTTTAACTTATTTTTGAATTACAGTAGAACGTCGTTTATCCGAAAGTCGGTTATCCGAAACGCCGGTTATCCGAAAGCATTCCAGTCGGCAAATTTAAATTTTCGCTAGTGCTGTGGCGCTGCAATCTTTGGCTACTCCAATATTTTTTTTTTGTTGGTGTGCGTTTTTTAGCTGGCAGCACTGGCACTTTGTGTGGTGTTTTTCTGAAGACTGTGTGTCGTGCTGAATCGAATGTTTTTGATACTAGATCATCTTCTAAAGTACATATTTTTTTGGTTTTTATATTTTTTAATATATTTATTTTGTTTGTAAGAAATAAAGAAATAATTTTTAACGATACAATAGCCACGATTATTATTTTAAAAAGTATACGTTGGGCTTAACATCGACGAAAATTCATCGCGAAGCGACACGCAACAGAGAAAATTTTCAACACGGGATAGGTTAAAATATTTTTTCGTACATAATCGGTTATCGGAAAAGTAAGTTATCCGAACAACCTCAGTCCCCAATTGATTCGGATAAACGACGCTCTACTGTATTAGTATTTTTCTTTATCTGCACAATTAGCAGTAAGAGTAAAAGCACGGTTCGATAATATTCAATAGAAGTGTGTGAGTTTATACTAGTGGGAAACCCTACAATTTTTGGGTATTTGCATTGTCGAAATAAGGAATGTATTCAAAATTATGTTTATACTTCTATTTTTTTAAATTATTATTATTATTTATTTATTTATTTATGTGACCATAAATATTGATAGCACATAAGAAAATATCCTTCTACTACTGCCAACATTCGACCATAATTTGAGACGAACCATGACGATCTACCATATGATATGCAATTGGAATTGACTAAATGAACAACACAAAAGTAAGAACACTTACAATTTAAAAATGGTGTCAGAAGCTTGAATCATGATCCACTTTGTATGTTGATTGTTTTATTTTTGTGTTATTGTCATTATTTCACTTGTGTGTTTTTTATTATTTTTTTGTGCGTATTTATATTTTGCTTAGATACTTCGAATACGCTAATGGCCGCAGTGTCATACATAAATAAATAATAATAATAATTTGTAAATATGCTTAATATGATAAAAACCATAACAATCAAGGAATTACATTATTTCGGTGCATTGTTGTTTTCTGTTGTAACAAAATTTCGACTTAAAAAAACAGAATTTTATAATTAAATTAGAGTAAATTATAATGGTAGGTGAAATCTTTCATTTAATCTTTATAATACATTTTGAATTTCCCAAACTCTTTTATTAAAAATTCATAAAATAACAAACTATCAATTTCAATCTTATATCGAAGATAGTGTAAATATTAATAACATTTTTAACATATTATTATAATATATCACAATAATTTATACTATCGTAAATAATTTTAATTTATCTTTTTCACGAATTATTTATTATTAATCAACGACTTATTTTAAAAGAACCAACAGCATCAATGCCCGACATGCGACCAAACGTTTCTTAGCGAACACGAATTGAAAAGACACATGCAAACTCATAGAGGCGAAAGGCCGTTTCAATGCAATTTGTGCGGAAAAAGCTTTCCAATGAAGTATCGTTTGAGAGAGCATATGAAAGTGCACTCGGAAGAAAGACCATTCAAGTGCAATTACAATAGCTGTGAAGAAAGCTTTAAACGAAAATGCAACTTGAAAGAACACATGTACACAGCGCATTTCGATAAGATTTTATCTAAAGTAAATATTACCTTTAATTACGTCATCGGCACAATAAAATAAATCGTGAAAAGCAACGTTTCCAAAATTTTTCATTAATAGTTGACATGATGTACAGTAGAGCGTCGATTTTCCGAATCAATTGGGGACTGGGGTTGTTCGTATGACTGATATTGCGGATAACCGATTTATGTACGAAAAAATAGTTTAACATATCCGATGTTAAAATTTTTATCCGTTGCGTTTCGCTTCGTGTTGAATTTTCGTCGATGTAAAGCCTAACAAAGACTTTTGTATCGTTAAAAATTACTTTTTTATTTTGTACAAACAAAATAAATATATTGAAAAATATAAAAACAATAAAAAATTATACTTCAGATGTTAATTTAGTATCAAAAACATAAAATATTTGAGTAGCCCAAGACATAGCCAAAGATTGAAGCGCCACAGCACTGGCGAAAATTTAAATTTGCCGACTTGAATTCTTCCGGATGATTGACTTTCGGAAAATCGACGCTCTACTGTATTTGCATTTGAATGTTACGTTCTATGTTTTTTTATATTGTTAGCAATTAACTAAAAATTTATTGAATAATTAGATTACACCAAACGACCCGAAGATAATAAGCCGTAAATGTAATGTTTGCTTAAAAGTTTGTGCATCTCCCTCTAATTTAAGACGTCATCTCAGAACTCACACCGGAGAACGGCCATTTTCGTGTATTTTTTGCAACGGCACTTTCAATGACAAAAGTAGTTTAAACAGACACATCAAAAGAATCCATCCGAAAGAGAAAACTTCATCTGGCTCCGAAGTAAGTGTATAAATATGTTAGTCACTAATCTTTTAACACACAACCGTGTCTTAGACTGAGAACATTATAAGAGTAACTTCACTTATTTAATGAGGACACATTGTTTCAATATTCTTTCATCGCATGTATTCTAAACACGTGTATTTGTTTTATTTGGTACTTCGAGAAAAATAAGTTTTTTCTTAATTATCAGGAAAATGCCTGTATTAAAAATATACAACGATTCTGAATTTTTTGTGTAATATCAGCCATTACTACGCGCACACTAAGCAGTTTTTGTATAAAGTAAGAGTCATTCGATAAGCAGGCAGTAAAGAAACGTTTCTATATTACTTCATGTATTCAAGATAAGACATTAAATTAATGCTCCAAATTACAAGTTTCAGAAAATTCAAACTTCATTTTTACTCATTACGATTGAATGACAATTTATGGACATCGAATTTCGTTTAGTTGTCTGAGGAATAATTATAAAGATATACACTCAAATACAAATACAATTATCTAAGTATAGGAAAATTTACTTTGATATGTGAAAGTCTTTGTTCCGTGACTTTACAGTAATATCTATCGAATAATTAAAAAAACAATGATTTTTTGTTTTCACAGAAATTAACAACTGCTGTATCTTTCTCGTAAGTATATTACTTTACTGAAAAGCATTTATATTTGTTTACCGATTATTCATATGGTTGTTAATTACTCATAATTTGATAAAATTTTGAATTTTCAAATTTTAATAACATTGTAAAATATTACCTCTCAATTAGCTTAAAAAACATTGTTAACTCTTATAGCATTAAAAATATATAATACAGTATATAATTAGGGGAGACCGGGGCAAGATCGTCATGTTAAGCTTTACTTTAATTCTGTGTAATAAATACTGCTGTAAACTAAAAAATAAGCTTTGCATATTGTCTATTGGAATGTTTTCTTACTATAGAACTGGTTAAAATCAGTTTGGAAATAAAAATAATTAAAATAATTACAACTTTACAAGAAGAGAGAAATTGACGAAGTTGCCCCGGGTATAGGGGCAAGATCGGCAACTTCTCTCTTTTTGTAAAGTTGTAATTATTTTAATTATTTTTATTAAAGTTGCCCCTGGTATAGGGGCAACAGTAATGGGGCAAGATAGGCACGTATATAAAATTATGTTATTAACAATGTATAAGTTGGAATTCACTATTAAAACAAAGAAATACAAATCCAACACCCATTTAATATTATTACAACGAAATGCAAGTTCAAAGACATATATACATGAATAACAAATGCAAACATGTTTTCATTTATCATCTGTTTGATTTTTATCCTTTGCTTCTAATGTGGCTTTATGTTGCCGATCTTACCCCGCTAGTCATGATTTCGAAACATTAAGTACAACCCTGAGAACAGAATGCCAAGCCACGATCTGGCCACGTGAATAAGTTGAAGTTACATCCTTCTAACAGGAAAAGTAACTTTCGTTATCATGGAATTATAACAAAACCTGCCAATTCAATATAAATGGAAAAAAAATATTATATGGAATTGAACGAAAATGAAAATTTGCTTGATAATTCAACTACGCTTGTTGGAGAACAATAAAAACACTACACTCAACAAGCCACCAATAAAACTCAACTGCCTAACCTATAACCAAAGTCTCCTTTTAATTTGTTTTTAAAAAAAAGCGCTTGACAAACTTGCCCCGTATGCCGAAGTTGCCCCGGTCTCCCCTATATATTACATATTTTTTGCATTTCACATTTATTAAATTGTGTACTCTTATGTTATGTAAGTTATTTACTTTCAGAAAAGTACAAAAGTCGTTCAACCATCAACAAGTTTTCAAAGACCACAGTCAATAGAATTTGAAGAAATTTTATCAAACCAGAATATCTTTACTTTAAAAGACTGCGAAGAATTCCTTGAAAACCTTAAGGTCAATTTAGGAATTATCCAACAAAAATTACCTAATTCAGTATATTAATTATCTGATATTACATCATTTTATGCAGTCCACATATTAGAAAATGGTGAAACGTTATCTTATTTATATTATTTACTTTCAGATTAGAACACAAGACGTTCAACGAGAACAGAAAGAATCGTTTGAACAACCATCAACAAGTTTTCAAAGACCACAGTCAATTGAATTTGAAGAAATTTCATCAGAACAGAACCTTTTTACTTTAAAAGACTGTGAAGAATTCCTTGAAACCGTTAATGTCAATTTAGGAATTATCCAACAAGAAAGTTCCTCACAAGTGACGTTCTTCCCAGAAATGGACGTTGAAGAAATTAAATTGAAGTGTCCGTTCTGTGGTGAACAATTTTTTGACGACGTTTCGCTTAAAGAACACGAAAGAAATGTTCATCCGTGTAACTAATTAATTGTAGACAACTAATTTTCAAATTATATTAAAATCATAAGGTACCAAAGGTGCTAATGTAGATAAATGTGATTTAATCAAATGCGAAAAGAAAAAATTAAAAAGAAATTGCACCTTACAATGACACGATGTTTATCATATTTGAATAAGTAGTAAAAATTACTAAAGTTGTATATTTTATCTGAAAAAATTTCTGGTGTTTTCCTACATATAATTTTAATACTAACCCGAAGCAGATTATTCGTAGTTTTCTTATATTCGTAATCTTGTACTAATATTAATAAAACAAAATTACATTTTTGAATCATTTACAGTATTATTATTTGTTTACGTTCATAACAAACTTTATTACAACAAAAGAAGACGGAAATTTTCATAATATTTATGAAACTTGTAAACAATTATTTGAAAATCTTCAGGAAAAAAAAAACGTTTAAGCAGTGATATACACACAATTATCTATCAAACTTATAACAACAAACAAATAACTGTCAAACAAATAAAAAACTCATGAATTAAATTAATTAAACTATAGTAAATTATAAATGTACTGATTTATTGACATTGTGTTAAACCTGGACGAATGGCTGAAACACTCTTTTTCAATAACTGACTATAGTATTGAGAAAGTCGAAAGAAAAATCAACCAACATGGTGGTATTGTTTTATATATTAAAAGCAGATGAGTCCGGCGTTGCTCGAGCAAAAATAACAACAAAGCTTTTTATTTTGTACTTCTAATTTTTCTATTATATCATATTATAGTATTTGATATATATTTACAAAAGTTATCTTACATAAGAGTTTATAATATTCGCAATGTAAGAGAGAATTATTATCTTTCAGAAATAATATCGATAACCGATCCGGCCCGTCTAATGAATATATGTGGCTCGCGATCACTCTTTCAATATTAGCCACTGAAGTCCGAATAGCTCGATGAAAAATTCTGACGCCTAAAAAAAGGGTCAACAACTCACTGTGCGTTTAGAGTTAACCCTCCATTACAAATCTCGTAAGTACAGCGTAGAATGTTGATAAAGCATGATAATGTGAAAAATTTATCTGCAATCTCTGCAATTTAGTCTCTACGGGGTGACACCACAATGAGATCTCGCACCACCTCAAAATCTTCCTAGGACAGCCTGTGGTTCGGCTCGTGGAAAAAGTTTTCTTTCCAATTTGGCCCGGGGGCAAAAACTGTTGGCCACCCCTGGAATAGAAGATGACTCAATTTTCCAGGAGGTTCCATTGTAAAATGACAGCGCTCTTCACAATGAACCTGATTTTCCAATTTACCTACAACATATACATAACTAGTTTCACCTAAAATGCACACAACATAACTGAAACAAATAAAGATGTAATTACACATTAAAAACATTTTGCAACAAAAAGACTCTACAGATCTGATATGTGTTAATAATACCACCATTGGAAACCTAATTACATACATCATCAAAAGTATTGCAACACTTAAATCACAGGTTCTCAAACTTATTTCGACCACCGCTCACTTTGAGATAAAAAAAAATATAGTGCATCATATTTTTTAGTTTACGTTTTTTCATTATTATCGGTTGCATATTTTTTAAAACACTTATTGCAAATACTGTATTTTAATTTTCTGCTGCATAAGCAGTAAGACACGGTTTTCATAATACTCAGCATGTGTGTGCAAATGTACATGAATGAAATAGCTTACAATTATAGGCATTTTAGAGTTCCAAAATAAAGAATATATTTCAAATAATACGCTGTCTTTTTATTTCTATATGTTTAAAATAATAATATTATTATTATTTATCTACCACACTGTGGTCATATGCGTTTTTCAAGTTTTTAAGAAAAAAATACATCTTAAGAAACATAAAACAACAATAAAACAATAACAAACAAAATAATTAACTACATATAATTTTACCAAGAAAGACATTATTTAAAATATATATATATAAATATATATTATAGTAACTAAATTAATGCGACAACAATATAGCGCGAAATAGATGAATCATTACAGTATTAATGTGACAGGTAGCACATAACACTTGCCTGTGTGCAGTGTAGTAATGTTTTGCCCCTAAACACTATACTTTTCCTATTGCCAAGTGCTAGTTATGTATCTGACTTCGTTTAGAAACTTCAGAAGAAATTTTTAAATTGAAATAACCTGACTTGCGTACAAATCGGAGGTTCATATATAGAAAGTATAGTATTATGGTTTAAAAACCTAACATAAATTTTATTTTAAAATTGTATCCTTTTTTTGAAAAATTTGTTTAGTTTATTATTTTGTTAAATATTCTCTCTAATAGATAACGCCACATGCAAATCAGTGAATTGAATGTAGGCTATATTAATTAAACTCTGTGAAACGCCAGGTTCGGGGATTACTCACGAAGGGATACGTACTTTTGAATTTAAAACCCAGCATAGCCACTGTTTAGAACGTGAAAAGCTAACCAGTATTCACCTACAAACATCCTAAGTTGTAAACAATGTCTCTCTGTTCCACGCGCTTGTAGAATAGATTTTTCCATTTATGATATACACTTATTAACTTAATCTAACTTTTACGAAATAAATTGTTATTACGACACTGGAAAGCGTTATTTCCGGCGCGCTGTCTCTCGACTTCTTCATCCATTTCGAAATCGACCGATCTCATACTCGCTCGCTTACCTACGACCAACAAATCACGGTAGTGTCAGTCTTGACTTTGGCATTACCGACGGATAGATATGAATATAAATGAACGTAAACTAAATTAACATACGACACTACTATATGCGGTACAACTTCAGACTTCGTTTTAAACCGGCTTAAAGTCAAACAGAACAAATTCACAAAACATTGCATAAACTTCCTTACAATTCTACCATCGCTTAATACTTACAACCAGCATAACATTGACATATATAAAAGAATTGCTCATAGACAGCTTTAAATTATTTAAACATGCAAGAAAAGATCTTTTATTACTAACCTGTAAAAAATTGCTATTGATCATCTAAATACAAATTCTTCTTTATGTGCCATATCAGGTCACTTCGATGTTGGTGAACACTCGGCGTAGGTTAGTCGAAATTTGATTGCGCGAAAAGTGATGCCTTCGAAAAGTTGGTACAGAAATGGTTCCCCATTGCCTTCTTTGAGTAAGCGGTGTTACGTGAAGGAAAAATGCTTTCCAGAAAGTATTTTAAGAGTAACGGGCTCTTATTCAGACGTTACAGATGGGAAAATATCCTGCTATTGCCAACATTAGAACATAGTTTCGGCCGAACCAGGCCGATCTACTAAATATTATACAATTGGAATTGTCTAAAAGAAAAACACAAACGTGAGAAAACCTAAACAAATCTTACAGATAGTGTCAGCAGTTTGAATCATGTTCGACTTTGTATATTGATTGTTTTATTTTTGTTTTATTGTCATTATTTTTCTTGTATGTTTGTTACAGTGTATTTATATTTTGCTCAAATACTTCTAATACGCTTATGGCCGCAGTATCATAAATAAATAAATAAATAAATAAATAATAATAATTAAAAAAAATAGAAGTGAAAAGATAATTTTGAATATATTCCTAATTTCGGCTGCGTAAAAACCCAAAAATTGTAGTGTTTCCCATTCGTGTAAACTCACACGCTCCTATTGAGTATTATTAAACCGTGCTTTTACTCTTACTGCTTATTGTGCAGATAGAGTAAAATAATAATAATTCAAAAATAAGTTAAACAAGAAACGGAAATAGCATTACTCTATTTGTTTCCTCACATGCGTTTCTCCCATACAGAAAACATTATATATATATATATATATATCGTTTTATGTTTTCAATTATTTTTAGGTTCAGGCATCTGTGCAATAATGCATGCTTAATACTATCAAAACATAACAATCAAAATTTATATTATTTCGGTGCATTGTTGTTTTCTGTTTTATTAAAATTTTTACTTGAAATTAAGAAACTGAATTTGATAATTAAATCAAAATAATTAAAATCACAAAGGTAAGTGAAATCTTTCATTTATCTTCATGATACATTTTGAGTTTACCAAACTCTTTTATTAAAACTTCATAAAATAACAAACTATCAATTTCAATCTTATATCGAGGATTGAATACATATTATAAACATTTTTGGACAGTTTTGTCTTCAATTTTATTAGAAATAATTCTCTATCGGACGAACTTTTACAGAACATAATATTATAATATATAACAATAATTTATACTATTGTAAATAATTTTAATTTATCTTTTTCACGAATTATTTATTATTAATCAACGACTTATTTTAAAAGAATCAACAGCATCAATGCCCGACATGCGACCATAAGTTTCTTAGTGAACATGAATTGAAAAGACACATGCAAACTCATAGAGGCGAAAGGCCGTTTCGTTGCAATTTGTGCGGAAAAATCTTTCCATTGAAGTATCGTTTGAGAGAGCATATGAAAGTGCACTCGGAAGAAAGACCATTCAAGTGCAATTACAATAGCTGTGAAGAAAGCTTTAAACGAAAATGCAACTTGGAACAACACATGTACACAGCGCATTCCGATGAGATTTTATCTAAAGTAAATATTACTACGAGTTCCTATGTTTTCATTTTCGTTCTTATTTTTTTAATTATTAAAGCGATAAAAGTTATAAAATAAACAGACACAATATGGTTGTGCAGAATAATATAAAAGATTCAATTAATATTTCAAACGATACTCGATACAACTGTGTTAATTTACACAAACAAATATTAAAATAATAATATCAATAAACAACTGTAAATACTGTATCATTATTGTTTTTTTTTTTTGGTGCTAAAAAATTTTTCTTGTTTTCTACTGGTTTTGACGTTCGTTCAAAAATTTTAAATTGATTACGTTTCTTTGTATGTTTTGTGCAAATCCATTCTCTGTATTCAACTTTTGCCAATTCAAACACACTCATAAACATAAAATGTACTTCCAAAATAGTTTTTCTAATGTGCGTAATTGCTAATGATAATAATAAGATTTTAAGCAAATTACTCTGCAACCAAACGAGGAGTTGCAGAGTAATTTGCTTAGATGTGTTTTTATAAAATAATTTGTCATACAACATAGTTTAATAAAACTTGAACAAAACCCTACACTTTTAATCACATCATCATCACAATAAAATAAATTGTGGAAATCATAGTTTCGAAACTTTCTCATAAATAATTGACATGAAGTATTTGCATTTAAAAATTACCTTTTATGTTTTTATATATTGTTAACAATTAAATCAAAATTTATTGAATAATTAGATTTCACAAAACGACCCGAAGATAATGAGACGTAAATGTAACTTCTGCTTAAAAGTTTGTCAGTCTCCTTCTACTTTAAAACTTCACTTAAGAACTCACACCAGAGAACGGCCATTTACGTGTAATTTTTGCAACGGCACTTTCACTTACAAAAGTAATTTAAACAGACACATCAGAAAGTTCCATCCGAAAGAGAAAACTCCATCTTGTTCCGAAGTAAGTGTATAAATATATTAATAACTAAACTTTTAACACACAATCAATTAGGCTAAAAAGTTTATAATAATAACTTCAGTTATTTAACGAGCACACAACGTTTCTATATTTATTCACAGCATATATTTTAAACCCTCGCATTTGTTCAATTCGTTTCTCCGAGTAAATAAGTTATATCGTAATTAACAAAGTAATATCTATATTAAAAATGTACAACGATTTTGAATTCTTCGTCTAAAATCAGCGATTAATACGCGCAAATTGAGAATTATTTTCTAAGAAGTTCGGGTCATTCGATATACAGCAGGTATCATAACGTTTCTGTGACATTTCATGTGTTTCAAGTTAGATATGTCGACCCTCCTATAACACTGTTGATCATTCCGTTTTATATGAATTCCATGTTGTACGAGTCACTTAGATTTTACAAATACGTGAGCCTTTCACAGCCTGGCACACGTATTTGTAAAATCTAACTGACTCGTACAACATGGAATTCATATAAAACGGAATGATCAACAGTGTTATAGGCGGGGTCGACTGGTATTATAATTAATTTTTTACATTTCAAATTATTAAATTCAAGTTTACTTCAGACATTTCATATTTTTTTAACTTCATTTGTACTGAATGAGAATTAACAGACATCGAATTTTTTTCTTTTTATTACATCAAATAAAAAGAATTTATTTTAAAAAGAATTATCAAATAAAAAGAATTATTTTAAAATTTTGTGCTACAATACAATTACAATAGCAAAAATAAGTGTTAAGTTATTTTTGCTATTGTATTTGTTATTTTTGCTATAGAAACAGATAAGAAATCTCCGGAAAATAAAAAATTCTCGAATAAAAGGTGATGATAGAATTATTAAGTGTCTGTATATGCACCTAGTAGTGACAACAAATTAATCGACAGAACCTTGTTAAACGAATGACTGAAGACAACGTCTGTTCTTAATAATGCTGTATCAGATGTTCGCACTGAATATTAGCTATACGTAATAATTGAATCACTTGATAAACATCAAAGTTAATTACAAAGACCCAACGAATATATTTAAGAAAAAGCATTGAAAATGAACAGCCCGATGTGATTATCCCTGATTCGTCAATCCAAGTACAGCTTAGTGCAAAAATGATCAGTTTTTCTACAACCAAAAACACGAAAAAAAATGACGAGAAAAGGTGAGTGAAGACAAAAAAAAAAGCTCTTACAGAATGATATTCGGTATATTCTTTAATCTCTTTGAGAATGCACAAGAAAAACATGGAATTTGTGAAGTGAGGAGTTTCGATAGTGCTACCGTAGAAAAGTGAAATTTAATTAAATGCAAAATGATCAAGAATAAACATTTATGTACGGTTCTTTCAAATGTCACGATGTTTGACATATTTCAGTAAGCAGTAAGAATTATTAAAGTTGTATACTTTTTTTTCAAAAAATTTTTACGTGTTTTTGTACACATAATTTTAATATTGAGGTGAAAGAGATTATTCCTAGTTTTTTTAATTCATTAAATCGTTTTAATATCCATACAACAAAATTACATTACTTGATTCATTTTAGTATAATTTGTTTAGCTTCATAACGCACTTTCTCACAACCAAAAAAAAAAAATTCATATTTATGTAATTTGTGAAGTATATTTTGGAAATTATATAAAAAATGCTTTACTTATACAATATAAAAAATATATTTGTATTTAAGCATAAGAATTTTAAGGAAATTAAAAATCAATAGAAAATTTTAATTTTGTCACAAGAATATTTTTTTTACAGCAATGGCAAGAAAGACAGAACGAAGAAGTGCAAGCCGCCAACACACTGCTATTACTAAGAGAAGGAGGATTGAGGAGAAGAACATCGGAAATGTTTGAGCCTGACAAACTGCCCTTTCATTCAGATAAACCTTCCTCCAAGTAATAATTGATAAATAAATGAAGTAAAGACGTACTAATCAGAAGATTCACCGAAAAATTTCAAACTGCATTTTTTTAACCAAATTTTCGAAATAATTTATATCACTTGAGCTTAAGATAAATGTTTAAATTATTAAAAACTTCCGATGAGATTTTAATCAATAAACAGCATTTATTAAATCAAATATCAATTTATTATTTAATGGAAATTTATTGGACTTCTAACATTTATTAAAAGTATACAATAATTTCTCACATAATATGTGAAGTGAATATCCACAGTTTTATGAAAGAATGTATATTGTTTTCCATCCTTATATAATTTCGTTGCGATATCAAACAGGCTTTCTATTGTATTAAGATCAGGAGAAAATGAAGGGCAGTTCACAACATGCATACCATTTGCCAAAAACCAGTCCTAAGTTTAATTTACATTATGTGTGACGTGTTATCTTGTCGAAATTTGAAAAACGGCATTCCGCTTTCTCTTCACATCGCATTAAGTGCATATCTATTGTCGTCTAAATGAGTAATAAGATAGAGATTAATAAAGATGAATATTAAAGCTCTGAATAAATGACACACATACTTAAATTATTAAAAACACAGTATGTAAATTCAACTTTGTAGAATTATTTTTAATCAATGAAACCATTCTGTTTCGGTAGATAAAAGTAATTAAGAGCGGTATTTATAATTCAAAGGTAAAATTAACACTCACGGATGGCTGAAAGAGCCGAAAGCAATTCTTTACAATTATGGACTTTATTCAACAATGATAGAAGTATTGTTATTATTTATTATTTTTAAAGAGAATATTTCAAATGGATATCTATTCAATGAAACCAAGACGATATTCAAATAAAAAAAACTCTTCCTCGCAGGTTTATTCGTTATTTGTAATTAAGGGACTACCAAACTAAATAATAAACGTATACTAAATAATGTATTTTAAATTTCAATTTATTAAAAAATAACTTTAAGAAACATTTCCTGTTCAATTCCTTAAAATCGAATACATTTTACAAAATATGAAAATAACAAATGAAGAAAATAAAACTTCAAACGTTTCTTGTTTTTAAGTTGAATAAAATCTAAATACGAATATTAATACAAATAAATACTTTTGTTAACATTTTCTTCAAAAACAAATATCGTTATTCATTATTATTATGATATGTAATAATATGATGCTTTAAATTAGATTGAAAACGGAACTTTTGTAAGCAATAATTACACGAAAATGGCTTTTCCCCTGTATGAACTCGGAGATGCTGAATCAGATTTCCCCTCTTTGCAAAACTCCGTTTGCAATAATCACAGGTAAAGAGTTTCTCCCCTGTGTGAGTTCGCAGATGTTCAATCAGATATCTTTTCAGTGCAAAACTCCGTTTACAATGATCACAGGTAAAGGGTTTCTCCCCTGTGTGAGTTTGCAGATGTTCAATCAGAGTTCCTTTCTGTGTAAAACTTCGTTTGCAATGATCACAGTGTGAGTCTTGACGTGGTACCATAAACTGCTGGAATGGATGAATTGACGATTACAGAATTTGCAAGAGAAGCGCCGTTCTCCAGTGTGAATCCTTTGATGACATTTTAAATTATACTTTGAAGCAAAAACTTTCTTGCAATTATCACATCGATACCTTCCATTCCTTGCCTTCTGATTATTTAAACCTGTAAAATACGATAAGTAAAAATATTAAAAGCATTGTCTAAAGATCAAAAGTCTCTTCAATTTATTCTCAATCAAATATCTAAATTTAAGCACTCTATTTTTAACGTGCAGATAAACTATTCCCGTGATTTCACTAACAGGGTACACCTGTGTTCACAAATACACAGAAATACATGTATTACCAACAGGCATAAATACTATCACAAATTAATGTCATTTATACAGTTTATTTTTCTATAAACAATTTATATGCTGTTTGCAACAAAAATATATAGATAATCATCTTCATTTAATTTTCTGCTTTTCGTCCTTTGCAATGAAATATACTTTCTTCTTTGATGCATTCTTGTATGATTTCTTACGACTGGTTGCGGTTTTGGTCTTCCATAAACATAACTTTAACACATTCTTCAGCTCTTACTAGAAATGCTCTTAATTGGTGGATGGTGCATCTGTAAATAACAAAAAGCTCTGTAAAACGAGATACCAAAATGGGATTAAAACATTACTATCTACATCATATTAAATATGTTAAAACTAAAACTAATTCTTCTGGAAATTCTTCGACATCTTGTCCCAGAAAAGTAAACCTTCATCGAAAACCTGAAAAAGAAAGAGATTCCAGTTAATATTCCTTATTAAAGTATACGTATTTACACACATTAAATTTCTTTCCACATAAAAAAAAAAATATCTGCTAAAATCTCGACTTGTGCTTTGTAAAAAATCTTCCTTTTGTGTTTTCCTTGTAATGTAATCAGCAAAGAGATTCTCTTCTTTAATCAAGATTTTAGATCATTACGTTAGATTAATAAATTGTATTGATTCTATTAATTATCGAAGCCGAAACTAACTCTTAATGTAAAGCTAAAGTTAGCAATAATTTGCCAAATATATTAACTTATTTTGGTAACTACTGAAAAAAGGTTAATAGACGAATAAACAATGTGACTAAGGGGTACCGAAATTAATTTAAACTTAAAACGTCAACTAGGACTTATCTATTATTAGTACTCATTATACTGGATAACTGGTTCTTCAAATTAAGTAAACAAAGTAAGAAAAACTGTCTTTATTTAGCACTTGAACACATACACGATATCTTTGTGTTTCGAACCGGTCAGTAAGTGTAAGGTTACCGTCGACAATCTCTAAAAAATTTCAATTTAAAATTCCTACAAAATTATTTATTTAGAAAAATCATAAAAATTCCTGACAATAAAATAATTAAAAACTTACAATTTCTGGATTTTTAAGTACCACCACGAAACCGACAATATTTAATGCAATATTCATTAATATCAATCCAAACATATTTCCGCTTTTAAAACAATATAATTAATTAAAAATAATGAAGATTGAATTTAATCCCACTTCATTTCTCCTTTTATACTTTCTCTCTCTATTAGATGATGCTATTCCATGATTGGTGTATTTCTCTTCCTGTGTTGTTATTTATTCTATCTTTTTGATTAACTATAGAGATGTGTTCGTACAATTGTCTTTTATAATTATTTTTCACTTTTTTCTTTATTTTTACTGTGTTCAAATCAGTGGCGTGTCGTGACATTTAACGATAGGGAAGCTGTGTTTCTGTAAAAAGACGACTTCCAGGGGCAATAAGTTCATTGCGTGTCAGCGATGGTCTAGGGTCCATTCGTATTCGTTTGTTCGATAAGTCAGAAAAACCGTACACTTCTCTAAATGTATTTTTAATATCACAATTGCATTCCGAATCGCTAGCCACGATATAAGGACTAAAATGAAAAAAAAAAAAACTTACGTGGTGAAATAAAATGTGTGATGGATATACAATTATACATACCTGGTACAAAATATTCTTCAATTGTACGTATATAGTTTTAAAGAAAATTATAATTAAATTTAGCTTTGTAAAGAAACGTACATAAAAATAACATAAAATATTTTTTACTTTTTAAACCTTAAAACAATCCACTTACTCCCGTATTCATCAACGCGAGTTAGAGTTAGAGTTAGGGTTAACTCTCGAGTTATTGGTAAATTGGTATTCACCAACTGAAAATCTCGAGTCAAACATAATAACCCTAACTCTAATTCTAACTCTAGAAAATCGGCGAGTAGACGATAACTCTAGGTTTCATGCCTGCGCAAAGCGATCTAATTCAGGGAAAAATGGCTACATTCGACGAGGACGAAGCCGAGATGCTAGAAAATCTGAAATATCTAGATTATATAGATCGTATGGAACGAAGAAGTCGGCGGATTATTTCTCCAGGAAGAAATGACCTTGAACAATTGGACAATTAAGACTTTCTATGTCGATATCGTTTGCCAAAAGAGAGCGCAAGAAACTTACTAGAACGAATTGGTCACAATTTAGTTTCTACATCATCGAAAAATTATTCGATGTCGCCGATGGAACAACTATTGTTGGCTCTACGTTTTTATGCCACGGGAACATTTCAGTTCGGCGTGCACTATTTTCCATTTTCAATTTCCGCCATTTTCTACACGTGTTTGCTTTCAACCAATCAAAACTCTGCTTACGAAAGAAGACTTGTTTAATCTCAAACGCAGGATTGCTTTAAAACAATAACTCTAGAATAGCGAAACTCTAGAGTTATATTTTTATCTGAATACGAAAGAAGAGTAACTCGTAATTTGACTTCGAGTTACATCTAAACTCGAGTTCGTCAACTCTGTTTAACTCGCGTTGGTAAATAGGGGGTTAGTCAAATAGCTCCCTACCAGTGGTTAATGATTGGGATCAGAGACGGTCCTGCAGTGTATGCTTACACGCGAGCTGCCAAATCCCGAGGGTGCCAATACCGGTCAATGTCAAATGCCTGTTTAGTCGCATCACTAGTATACCTCAAAGGATGTGACAGGGTTGTTGTAAATTTTAAACGTTTCTCACCATGGCTGTAAAAATCTAAATATGTTAAACTTAATAAATTGTCCGTCGTTTGTTTTCTAACTAATTCGTTTTAGGACCAGGTGGTGTCCACCGAAATTTCCAAAATTTACTTTTCAGTCACTCTCATTGAACTGGAAAAATTTCTTTCTTTATTACATTTAACATTATCAAGAAATCGGTCCCCACTGTACTCGGCTAAAGATTGGTACTGTTAAGCTTTTGTTTAAATATTCCGACTCTTTCAGCAGGTTTCTGTCCCCAATTCCCTAATCGCTTAATTATTTAACTACTTCTTAAGTAGAAATAAGTCGAAACCAGTTATTTTGTACTCGAATATTTGTAGTCTCGGGAAAAAAGTGGAAAGACAAATTTTTATGACAACGGATACATAAATCGTAAATTTAAGGAATATAAATTCTAGAGCTTTTTCTGTACCTCGGGTACAGAAAAAGCTCTATTGTACAAGAAAATTGTACAAATATTGTAAAAATTGTACAAGAATTGTACACGTTTTTTCCTACATCCCCTTATAGATGGCACATACGAAATCGTAATATAGTGATATTACGATTTACTGGTTTATAATATAAGATGGGAAAGCGGAATAAAAATATCAAATATTTTAATGGATTATTTTTAACTTCTGTCTACTATACAGAACTATCATAAAAGTATACCAGTAAATTTTTATCGGTTGGGTTAAGTTATAAATCTACTCATGATTCACATAATCGGGCGAGGGTGGCCAAATATCCAGCGGGCAGGTGACTAACAGCCCAGAACCAGTCCTGCATAGAATCATTGGAAGCGTTAGACGTGGGTAGCTTCCAGCAGCTAAACCGGGTGGGATTGGTGCTCTGTAAAGCGCATGCGCGAATGAGTATAAGCTTGCTGTTTGGAAGCTGACAATATAGCGCTTCCATTCCGCCACTAATATTCGAATATACAATAGCGATCTTATCGTTTTTTTCACGTGTAGTATAGAAATTTGTAAAAAGATACATGATGCGATTATAATAAAATATTAATTTTAATTATATGAAAATAATCGCACAATATGTATTTATTTTTTAGAAAATACAAGGGAAACGGTGGAAGCGCTGCTTCCCTTGTATGACGGCACGCCACTGGTTCAAATGCACTTCTCATCCCTTTAAACTACAATGTTCCGCTATCGCGGAATTTGCATAATTTTCTTTGATTGCACGAATATGTTCTTTTAATTTTACTTTTAGTTTTCTTTTTGTTTCCCCGATATATGTTTTCTTCTGGTTACAACTACAGTTTAAAAAATATACCGTACCTTATTCTTCTGTTATTTCGTATTTTTTGGTCGTTCCTATAACAAAGATGTTTTTTAGTTGAAATATAATTTTGAAAAAGGCTAACCAGATAACAGAAAATATTAATTCGAAATAAAAATAGAGAAGCAGAATAGCATTAATTACTTAGATCTAACAATTGAAAAAAGAGAAGATAGATTAATTAATAAAAAATATGTAAAACCGACACAGATTCCCAAAAATAATTAATTACAAATCTATTATTCTTATTAATATGAAATTTAATATATTTAAAATGTATACGGAAAAAATAAAATATAGAACAACTGAAACAGAGACCCAGAAATAAGAAGAGGAAGAAATAATTAAAATGTACCTAAAAATTTTTACTGGAAAAATGCATAGAAAAATTAGAAGATAAACGAAAAAAATTAATAAATAAGGAGAAACAATTTGTAAAAGTAGTGTATGTACCAAAGTTATTTGAAATAATTCAAAAATTAATATAAAGTAAAATAAATTTAATACTCGAAAAAATAAGTTCAAGTAAAAAACATCTTTGTAATATACCAAAAATACGAAATAACAGAAGTAAATTCGTTTAATTGTAGTTGTAACCAGAAGAAAACATAAAACATATATTGGGAAAACAAAAAGAAAACCTAAAGTAAGATTAAAATAACATATTCGTGCAATCAAAGGGAATTATGCAAATTCTGTGGTAGGGAAACATTGTAATTTAAAGGGATGCGAAGTGAATTTGAACACAGTAAAAATGAAGAAAAGAAAAGAAAAACAATTATAAAAGACAGTTGTAAGAACACATCTACATAGTTAAACAAAAAGATAGAATAATAACAACACAGGAAGAGAAATAGACCAATTATGGAACTGCATCATCTATAGAGGGAGAAAGGGAATTATTTATTATTAGAATATGTTTAAACCAATCTTCATTATTTTTAATTTGGATATTGAAATTCTTACTTATTTGAAAGTTTATAGAAAAAAGTAAGTTTGAGAATTTCGAGACAGCAGTTTTAACGTTGATTATTAAAGAATAGCAAAGGACTTAATTATGAGGGTACAGATGAGTTTTATCAAGATCTGTAAATGCTAATAACAAGTAAAATCTTCATTAAGCCCAACCTCATGCGAGATACGACACGTGACCACCCTGTAACTTCCCTCCCCCTCCATCTTCCATCACCAAAATTTAATAGTCTCAATGCTCCTTATACCCAAGCTACTGTGTTCGAAATTTTGTTTATTATCTTTATTACATTTTGATATATTAAATGGAATAGACAAAACACACATCCACGGAATTTTTTGCCGCTTCTGTGTTCAGGAGGTCTCGAAACGTAAACATTGCTAATTTGACACGATTCCATTACTTTTCCTTGTTATAACAGCCGGAAAGTAAAAGTAATGGTTCCAAGCAATGTTTAAAATCCATATATAGTATACAGATGGTTCCAGATCGTATATTTTAAAAAAGTTCATTAAAAACAACTCACTAATTCCTAATGTTAAAAATACACTCTGTAAAAATAATATGCATATTTAATATTATTCAATAATACTATAATCAACATAATTACTAACATTTATCCTTTACTATTTCATACAAATTAAAAAATACTTTTCTATCTTTTGTACAGGGGTTAAAATATAGGTTATTGCGTAGTTGCTTATCCTCGAAAGAGCTTGGGAAAATGCCTTGTGAAAAGTCTTTTAAGAGTAACTGGCACCTCTTTAGGCGTTAGAATCGTGAAAAAAACTGGAAAAATCCACGTGGCTAGCCCGTTCTGGACAGGCGCGAACCCACGACCGAACTATTAGTGTTCGTTTGGCCAATAGTGGGCTATTTTTTACTATCTTATCACTAGAATGATGCTTTTTTACTTTAATGTCCCTGGGGGACAATATTGTTCATCCTCTTTAAAGCTTAACTCCTGTGCGTTTCGCGAAAATTTCTGAAATCTTGCTAAGTGGTTTATAGGAGGATTGACGCTGCTAAATTTTGGTGATTACAGAACGAAGGGATGGAGAGATAAAGGAGGTCGTGTGTATCTCCAGTAGGGTCACACTTCATGATGATTTTATTTTAGGATAGTCATTAAATATAAATTTTTTATCTGAATTCATTAATTTTAATTTCTTAACCTAATCTTTCTTATCCTTTATACAGTCAAAGCTCGAGTTTCGAACGCCTCTGTTTACGAACAAAATTTTAAACGCCATATTTCCTCCGGTTGTCGAATAATCTACTTCGCAAAAGACGTCCACAGACGATCAACTCTCTATATTTCCTGTGTTAATGTATTGATACTTGTCTGTATCGATTTATTTGATTATATTTCACGCAGACAGTCAGATGCGAGTGTCTATAGCACTTTGTAAAGTGTTTGTATCTGTTGGCCGTGATGGAACATTGGAACATGCTTTTAATAAATATATAAATTACATATGGATCTCGATAATTTAATATTAAATTGCACGTGTAGGTATTTTGTTGCATAAAATACAGCGAAAAACAAAAAAAGACAACAAGTTGCGATCCGTTCAATAATTACAATAGAAAATATACTTTACCAGTTCTTTACTTCCATCCTCCATTTCCTTCTCAAATACGTGACGTAACCGTCAATTTTATTTAAAAAANCGTAATTAATTAAATGGAATGGACAAAACACACATACACGGAATTTTTTACCGCTTTTCGGTTCTGGAGGTCTCGAAACGTAAAGATTGCATATTTGACACGATTCCATAACTTTTCCTTGTTATATATACGTAACAGCCGGAAATAGAAAGTAATGGTTGTGAAATCCGGAATTTTTGCCGAATTTTCCGATTAATAACCCGCAGTTTCCTAAACCCCCAATTAAGTTTTCCTTTAAACCCTAAACGGAGATCTAACGTAAAAAAGGGAAAAATTCCGATCTCCCCTTTCGTTCAAAGTAAACATCCGTCCATTTCGAAAATAATTATGTCTGGTCGTCTCCGATTCAAACGAAACTTGGTGACACGTAGTCCTAAACACAAACACATCCTTGTCCAAACAATAGCACTCACTTCTCCAGTTTTTCGAAAAACTTACCTTTGAAAATTGAGTATTTAGCTTATAAGTCTTGAAGGCTCACTTATTGTTATCACAATAGAGAAGTGTTTAAGACACCAGGCATAACAGTTGAGCGATGTAAGATCTTGCCTTCGCCCTTTTAGTTTTATGTATAACAAAATTATTTAATTATTTTACCGTATTATTAGCATTATTATTATTACCATTGTTATTCCTCACATTAGAAACTTATAAAGGAGATTTAATAGTGCGAAGGAATTTGTCTGCCCACACCCGCCAAGTAGCTTAATGTTTGCCTAAAAGTATCGTAACTGTGGAATCAAATTACAAAGTTGTCCCTGTCAACAACTACGAGGGTCCATCTATTGGAAGACAGATCTGCAGATAAAATGCTGAACAACTTTTGCGTCTCGCACATGGTAAATTTAATAAAGATCCGGATACTAATGTGAGACCCGAAAGGCCCCTGGGTTTAAATTAATATTTTATTAATAATGTTAAAATAATGTCACCAAATACTACTTCATTTTCGGTGAGAAAAATACTGTTTTAACGTGGGAATAGGCAGATAACAGATGTTACTTCCTTTCACTGAAGTTAGAACATCCTCTGACTTTCCCTTATCTGGTTAAAATCCTGCTCAGATGGGAAATGGTTACCCCTCATTCATTCCCCTTTCATCCGTTCTCATGAAAGAGTTACTGGCCGATGATTGGTCGAAATTCAGAAGATATACAGGGAATTTGTCAGAATTCGGGGAGTTCAGCGACAGTTCTGGAAGCGTCCAAACTCCATACGTTTTTCTCTTGATGACCAACGTCCTTAGACGAGTCACATACAGAATAATTCCAGAGTTAGCACTTAGAAACCATACTTGGATTTTGTGCACATATTGATCTCCCATACGAAGAAGTAAATGAACTTTATCTCCAAAGTGTCCCTTGCATACAGAGAAGAAGACGAACAACAACTAGAACAGGTCGTATGTTTTATAACGATTTTGTGAGCTCTCTCTCTCGATCGCGAATAGGGTATAATATAAGCTTAGCTATCTCCCGATTTGTATATTATTTTGTAGTAGTTCTGTCTCTCGTTTATCCACATTTTGTATGAGTTTATTTTCTTGTTTTATTAAATTTATTATTTCGTTTTTAATTAAAATGTCTCCTAATTGTGTGACCGAATCAGATCGCATACGCGTGTTAATCCGCGTTTAAGAAGATTGATTAACTGGTGTCGGGACCCTGACATAGGAAGAAGGTGAATTGCTCCCACCAACTTCCGCTTCAAATTATAATCTAACAGTAAAGCCCTCCACACTCGTTTCCCTACATTTGGGAAAGGCCGTTCTTTGGACGACCGAGAACTGGTCTTACCGACTAGTGCCCGTAAGTGGCGTAGACTAAAATCTACGTCCAGGCAGAATCTCACATCTGGTTTTTCAGGAGTGGGGTTTTAGAACTTCAAATCCCCAGTAGGATCCCACATCTAGTGTGCAGCAGGAGTGGGTCTGAATCGTTCTGAATCGGTCTGAATCTAAAAGTCCATTAGGTATCTCACATCTAGCATAAGTCGCTTTAAGTTGTTAAATTAAGTTAAATTATAAGTTAGAAATACGTAAAAATAGGCATGGCAGAAGGAAATCCCACTCATGCTACTTTGGGAAACATGAGTGGCTTTGTCGCTTTGTTGCCCGTTTTTGCGGGTGAAACGGGGCAAAACATTAAGGATTTTTTTTTGAATTATTAGAAAACGTGGGAAAGCTCGCCACATGGACCAAGAGTCAGTTGTTAACAGTAGCTCGATTAAAATTAACGGGAATAGCACAGCAATTTGGTAGGCGCGACAAAAGAATTAAGGATGTAGACAAATACGATGATTTTAAAAAAATATTAATTGATAGATTTGAGCGCATCCCTACTTCCATTAGATTGCAAAGATTTTATGCTTGTATTCAGAACCGCGACGAAGACGTGCAAACTTATGCGGTGAGATTGCAATCGCTGGCAGCCGAAACTGAAATAGAAATAGAAGGAAAGAACGCTGCGGAGGTAGCTCTAATAAAGAAAATAAAGGCTAAGGAATTAGACGAACGTTTAAGGATTCAATTTATGAACGGGATAGATATTAAAATAAGACAGAGGGTTATGTCGAGAGAACCCGAATCATTCGACCAGGCTTTAGAGATAGCGATAGAGGAGATTGAAGCCCTTACAAAAGGACGCAATCATAGCGATATAATCCGCACTGTAAAGGACGATATATCAGAAAATACACGTACCTATGAAATACAAGAAATACAAGAGAAAATAGAACAATTGATAGAACAATTAAACATTTTAAAAGGGAAAGATAGATATAGTAACTCTGAAAGAGAAGCGCACTTCCGTAAAGACGCGGACATAAAAAAGCGAGATCGAAATAGAGATAAGCATTTCCGTTCGCAACCGCGCAGTTCTAGAGAAACAGATATGTGGGAAGGCACATTGTCTAATGTTAAGACTGATGATAGACCTATAGTAATGGTTTATGTAAATAACTTGCCCACTAAATTTAAAATTGATGAAGAAGCAGAAACTTCGTTAATATCTAAGCGCATTATAGATAGAATAAAGCAAATAAAGCCTTTTTACAATAAACTGCCGGTAATGATAGATAATTCGTCCAGAGAAACAGTAGTGGGTATAGGAAACGCCACCCCTGAGTTTAAGCTAAGAGGAAATAAATTTAGAGCTACGTGTAGGATAGTGAGGTCAGGAGACATATACCCGTGCGATGGTACAATAGGTAGAGACGTACTAGAGAGAGAGAATATCAAAATAGACAATAAAGAAAATAGATTAATTTTGCCTGATGGTAAGAGTCTCCATTTCTGTACCGCCGTACCCGTGTACTATTATAAGCGAGGACCTAAGGTATACAATAATAATGCGAATCATAGAAGGGATCACTATAGAGAGAACTATATAAGAAGCATACAAGCATATCCCGAGAGGAAACGCTATTCGGAAAATACTTATGTTAAAAATGATAGAAAAGCTGAGACAAAAATACGTAAAGAAAAGAAAAAATATAATAATAATACGGAGAGATCAATTCCCATAAAATCAAAACGTATTGAAGCTGCTAGACAACCACAGTTTAGAAAAATTGAAAATGCAAATAAACATAAGCGAAGGGCATATAAGGGAAATAAGAAGGAAAAGAAAATTTCCAGAATTCTCCTCCCAAAGACCCATAATAGTCGTGAGAGAAAGACAAACAATAGCGGTAGTAAAGAAGATACCTGTTACTCTGATTTAAATATGGTTAAAGGGATAGATAATGAAAATACGCAGGATAATATCTTCAAAGAAATGCTTCATCTTTTGAATAATACAAAGATTAAATTTAAATCCATTTTTGATACGTCGAATTGTTAGTCGGAAATAGAGACAAGGATCCGGTAATTCCATATAGAGATAATGACAAGGATTTGATTCGTATACATATAGATAGAGTAGAAGATAAAATTTACTATTTCCATTCATAAATTAGAAAGGAAAGGGAAGTAGACAAAAGGAAGTAGTCACAGGGTGAAAACTATCGAATGTTGATTAAGGTTACAAATATAGTAGATAAAATAAAAAAGGAAGTAAGTCATTTCTGAAAGGAAGAGAGTCAAGTTATATACATTTGTAATACTTCCTACATACATTATTATGTTATCAAATTTCGCATAGAATTTACATAAGAATATAAAGTCGAGTAGAATAAGAAACAATGCATAACATGTTCGTTAATGATATTTTGAATATACTAATGTTATTCTAAATATAATTAAAATAATTATCGACAGNGGACCATAATTTGTATGAGTATAACGTCTGGTCGTCTCCGATTCGAACGAAACTTGGTGACACGTAGTCCTAAACACAAACAGATCCTTGTTCAAACAATAGGACGCACTTCTTCATTCTTTCGAAAAACTGGCCTTTGAAAATTGAGTATTAGCTTAGAAGTCTTTAGAAAGTTTACTTATTGTCATTGCAATAGCGAAGTGTTTAAGACACCAGGCATAACAGTTGAGCGATGTAAGATCTTGCCTTCGCCCTTTTAGTTTTATGTATAACAAAATTATTTTATTATTTTACCGTATCATTAGCATTACTATTATTACTATTGTTATTCCTCACATTCGAAACTTATAAGAAAGATTTAATAGTGCGAAGGAATTTGTTTGCCGATACCCGTCAAGTAGCTTAACGTTTGCCTAAAGGCATCGTAACTGTGAAATCAAATTAAAAAGTTCTCCCTGTCAACAATTACGAGGGTCAAGTCCATCTATTCAAAGACAGATCTGCAGATAATTTTGCTGAACAACTTTTGCGTCTCGACCATGATAAAGATCCGCATACTAATTTGATAACACTACATATACGACAAATGGACATACGTGAGCGATATTGGCATCTAAAAACGAATGCTTGCCGAATGTACCCGGTGGAGTTATTAAACTCCTCAAAACCAAGTAAACTCCTACCTCATCACCTAGATGTATGGGTTGGAGCACCAGAATTGCTTTTGCGAAATTTGAAACACCAAAGTTATGCAATGGAAGAAAAATGATCTTTTATCTTTGACCCGCAGATCCGAGCAATTTTTTTGTTCTTACAGTTTCATTATTATTAATACCCGGGTCAATAAATGCAGGTTTTACTTACTAGGACTACTGTTTTAATCACCCTGTCTGAATTCCGCATCCCCTCAACAAACCCAGCAACGTCGCAAGACATGTGGCAAAACGTGTTGAATGAAATTCACTGTAATGTGTGAATGTTGCTAAAAGAAAAATGAAATTTATTCTTCGCGGCTTTTGTACACTTTGAAATTAAGAAATTGGTAGCACAAAAACTGGAACATTCACAAACTCATACTTTCGTGAATTCTCTTCATTTAGAGTTTGTGGAGCAGAAACAAACAATTGTTTCAGAACGTTTGTAAACTCGTTGCACTGCNGAATTTACATAAGAATATAAAGTCGAGTAGAATAAGAAACAATGCATAACATGTTCGTTAATGATATTTTGAATATACCTATGTTATTCTAAATATAATTAAAATAATTATCGACAGAAAGAAAATAGGTATCTGTATTTAGAAATAGTAAGGTTGTATTATTATCTTGACCTTTAAGTCTTACCAACTACCGAGTGTCGAGAATAACTCAATAATCTTAATAATTAACCTATTAAATTTAAGATAGCAGTAATAAAATAATAAGCTAAGTGAGGTAATTAATAAATTAAATGATAGAGTTATTTTGTGAGTTATTTAAAAGGAAAAGGAATTAAAATTCTCATGCTGGATGTAGGAACATTCTGAAGATAAGGGAGTTGCTCCTTAATATAACAATTAAATATTTTCTACAAGAGAAGCTATAGACGTTTTAGAGCTAGGGAATTTAAGTTCCTATTTTATCTCAAAGGAAGTTATGTCCCATACGTTACGAGAAATACAACCACAACTTCCGGAAGGTTATTCGTTTGATAGGCAGTTAAATTCTATCCATCTATATCTCTAGTTTATAAGATAGTTTTAATAATAATAAATTATAAAGTTTATTTATAAGAATGGATACCTCACTCAAATTAATAATACAAGGTGATTGAATAGAATAGAGATAATATTATATAGAAAAGTCTAGATGTAAGACTTAGCATAGTAATAAGAGAGAGAGAGACATTAATAGAGAGATGTAATTTGTTAACATACTGCCTTTAACATGAAAAATACTTTGGTGAAAATGAACTTGGCTCAGATGGATTTAAATGACCCTGGAGTCATAAAACATTTAATGAACTCAACCACCTGAACTTTTGTGGTTATGTTAAATTAAATTTGGAAGAAAAGAAAGTGTATCAAGTGAAGAGTACACATTTCAACATTTCGAACTGCAAAGTAAACTTTGAACTTTTAGCAGGTGTTATTGAAACAAGAAGACATCACATGATCTTCTAATATACATGGAAATTGCAACTATAAGAAGTCAGCCAACAGAAGTGCTGCCACAGAGACTCTCAGCGAAGAAGAGGTGCTTTCGAAACAAGTGACAAACTATGTCCACTTTTACCGTCAATTCCAGACGAAGACATTTGTGATCATTGTGTTTATTTTAATATTGTTAAATTGATGAATTGTTTATTATATTATATCCATGTATTTTAATGTTAAATTTGATTTGAATTATTGTATAGATTTTAAGATCTTATTCTTATGAATAACGCCATTTTTCAGAGAGAGAGAGCAATTCGAACTTATGTATTGCAGTGAAAAATCACGCCTTCTTTAAATGTAGTGTGATTTTTGAAGATATGTGAGACCCGAAAGGCCCCTGGGTCTAAATTAATATTTTATTAATAATGTTAAAATAATGTCACCAAATATTACTTCATTTTTGGTGAGAAAAATACTGTTTTAACGTGGGAATAAACAGATAACAGATGTTACTTCCTTTCACTAAAGTTAGTACAGTACAGTTATGAAATGTCTCATTAGGAAGTACTGTACAACTGTTCAAGTACAATGCACAACACTCAATGATCGTCTATGACTATAGCTTTTACAGCGAAATCTTTGTCAGAATTTTTAGACAGACACAAATAAATGGTTTCATAACTTTATTTTAGTGTCAGTCAAACACCATGAAATATGAACGTCAATACATTTTTTTTTGTTATCAAACAAAAAGAAAACAAAATCACTAGGCTACGACATGGTCGTATTCGCTCGCTACAATCTCGATGTTTGCAGACAAAACTATTTTTATACATTTTTCTTATAATCTAAACAACCAAATGCCACAACTTGCTTAGGAAAAGAATTCTCTACGTGATGCTGTAATGTAAAACGGCCAAAAATCTGGATAAGCTATAAGTTTTTTGAAGCATAGGCAAACGAAGCAAGGTTTTTTGAAGTATCTGAAACTTTTTGTTGGGCAAGCGTGGTCAAACGAAAGGCACCAATTACTTTAAAAAACAGATTTAAATCGTAATTAAAATTAATTTGAATTTTACAACAGCAAAAACATTATCAATTTCTTGTGATTTTAAAATCAACACACGAAAAATCAAATAAAAGCATTTATTAGACAACAAGATGTTTACAAACAGAAAGATTCTTTTCCGATTCACATCACATGATAAAATTCGACTGGATCTACGTTCTTAAATTTTTAAGCTGATGCAGTCGAGAAAATATCTCCTTGAAGGGGTTTTGAATTAATTGAAATTGCCCTTCTTCTTCAACTGCTTTATGTTNAAATGCTCGATCCGTTTTAAATTCAAATTTGTTATTGCATATTGGTTCGATTATAGAACGATTATAAACGTTCCAGAAAATTGATCAAATTAAAGATAGTTCGTTTGATTCTCGGCAATTCTCTTCAGCGGTAGGTGTTGTATGACAATTACTATGGTTATTGAAATATTGAATGTAAATGGGGGTTGCTTGCAAAACCTCCGCGGACGAAGTTGCGGGTAACAGCTAGTAATATATAAATTAAAATTGAATATCGGTGAATGAAGAGAACATATGTAATAAATCTGAAGATGAATATAAAATATAAAATGAATATNTTCATTTTCGTGATAAAAAATTGCACGTACAATTTTTGAATATTTAGCAAACTTTGTCTTGACAATTTCGGTAGACGCAAATTATTCCAGAGATATTGCTTCCACGCGTCTTTTCTTTACTGTATTAACGTTTCTTGAGTTTATTAGACATTTAATGTACTGTATTTAGATAAAGTTCCAGAATTGAAGATACCGAAGATTAAATTCTAGATGTTTTAATTTTGACGTAATTCAGAGCAAATTTGCGTTCGCAATTGACACAGATCGAAAGAAGACGTTGATTAAAAATGGACACGAAATAAGTGACACAATAAGTAATGGACAGAACCAGGATGCGTCAAATTCGAGAATGAAAACGATTCGGGAATCAAATTTAGTAGATAGACACAATTCGGTAGTCAAGTTCGATAATGTGGTATATTTGAAATTACGTAGTCAAAATCGTTTATAGGTCAAAATTTGGAGAGTCAAAATTGGTTAAGGTCAAATCCTGAACAGTCAAAATCGATAAAAGGTCACATTTTTGTGAGCCAAAATCGGTAAAGATCAAATCCGGGCAGTCAAAATCGATGAAAGGTCAATTTCAGTGAGAAGCATTAAACAAAAGATCTGTGAAAATAAAATAAAAATTACTAAGAATTTCATCTACAACCCTTAATCATTTTTAAAATAATAACTTTATTTGTTATTAAGAAACTGAAAATACATTTCTGCCTTGTGTGATTTATTGCGTACTAAATATAAGTTATTGTGAATGTCAACGTTTTACAACCATCCTGTATTAACATTTAATTCACTAAACAGAGTAACTAAAAATCTTATCTTTACATCCATTTTTGTTATTTTGCAATGTTACGAGACAAGTACATTCCCAGGATTTTGTCTCATAGAGAGCAAATGCTATAAATTGATAAACCGATTAAATAAAATTATGGTTCTTAAATAAATTTCTTCTACTTATGTTAATGTCTTCTATCTTCGTAATAAACGCGTAAAACACAAGCAAATAGTGTAGTTTCTCATAGTATTAAAAGAGAAACATAGGTCTATCTTGTCGCACGATAATATTGGTTACTGTGTTTCGATGCATCGGCAATTAAAATAATATTTTAGGCGAAAAATGACTTTTCAGGTCTCTTCTTTACAGGGCGCTTGTTAGGTAAATATATCATCAAATCACTAGCGATTTCATAATATTTGAGGCCTTAGCTAGATATTGAAATATAAGGCACATTTATACAACTGTATACAATGTAAAGCCGTACGATACGATTTTTTGTAAGATTTAAGATCTTTCCAAATACAATACTGGATTTCAGATTTGGACCAATACAGAGTATCGACAATAATACATATGTAATGCCCGAGACCCTAAAAGCCTAGTTACGTATATAACATCGCAATAGCATTAATCTGCTTCTACGTTTTGTCTTGTACATGTCGTAATTTAATTATGTGTTGTTTGTACAACTGGACCATCGACTGTGTAAATTTTAGTATTTATAAAGTGAGAGTGTAAAATTTCTATTCAGTTTATCAGTAAGATTTTCAATTTAGTTTACCGTTGAAAAATCTTTAGTTTTTCAGTTTTAACTTATATCTTTATTGAATTGGATATAACACTTGTTTGGATGAAGAGTAAACCGTCAAATCTCGATATACCGCATTCCAAACAGCGCCAAAGAATACGGGAAAATTATGTGATTCTCGTCAAATCACATAACTTCTGAACTCAAATTTATGTGTAGATTTTAATACTATATGTTGATATTTGAGGAATTTTAGTTTACTGCCACACTCGAATTAGTGCTAATTTGAGAGGCGAAAAAGTGACGCAGCTAAATCGAACTTTGATTAAATGAGCATAGAAATACGTACCTCTTAACCGGCTTCCACATTGATTTCAAGAAAGATCCGAACTTCATTTTCAGTTTATTCTGCCGAAAACCCTAAGTCTGAAAATACAAAAACAAATCAGTTGTTTTATTTCGTAAAGTGACATTCAAATGCGATATTGGAAAATAAAACATACAATTTTGGGCCAAGGCACTTTATGAAAATACTCGTGTTCTCTTATATTTACTTCTAGAGGACGTCTGCACGGGTCCTGAAATGATCGAAAACAAAAGTAATTAATTCAAATTTACTATTCGAATGATTATATTTTCGTCTGTGTGTTATTTCCGATAAGACAAATGTTATTAAACTAATTAGCAGCACGTCATTAAACATTTACTTAATGATATGAAACGAGTTTTCGACATTTTATTGAATATAATCAGTGAATTAATTATAAACAGATTTATGAAAGTCCACAGAAAGACCGTATGATTACAATTAACGATATTAATTGAATGAATGCTTTTCATACAAGAAAAAACACAAAATTTGCCGTATATAATCATTGTTTTTGGCAACAGAGAAAAGTCGAATGTAGATACATAAGAGAATTACATGCTTCGGTTTGTAAATAAATGTCATTTCGTGCATAAAACGGGGAGAGACAAATCTGAATTTGTTAAGTACAATTAAGTATAATCTTACCTTTTGCAATAGGTCATAAATAAAATGTCTGGCATCATCCGATAACCCAGGAGGATACGACACCTTCACATTTAGAGCAGCTGCAAACGCATTTTAATATTAATTATCTTATATTCCTATTATTATTATTGAATTAATAATTTTGATACATTACCTCTTATCCGGTCGTACCGGGGCAATAAATACACGTTATCAATATCGAAAGCTTCTTTCACATAAATCTCTAAAGGAGTTCTTCCAACCAACGCTTGAAATAACACGATGGCGAAAGCCCACCAGTCACAGTACGAATCTACAAACAATACATTCATTAATACATGCAACAATATGATCCAATGATGTGAAAGTACAAATGTGAAAGTACAAGTCTTTACCGTAAGGCTTCCTCTGGAGAATTTCCGGACACATAAATGATAAAGTTCCACAATAATCTCTTGGATTTTGTTCGTACTGAAAAAAATAATAATAAAATAGTTAAGAGATCGTTAAAAAGCTACAGTTCAAGAATATTACAATGTATATGCTTACTGTGGATAGACCGAAATCAATTACTTGTGCACCTTTGTACACATCTAACATAACGTTGTTTGAACTAATGTCTCGGTGTATTATTCCTATTCAAAATAAAAACATTACTTTGCCACTCTTTACACATTTCTGGACTAAACAAGCAAATAAATCTACAGCGAATAACTACCATTACTATGAATATACATAATAGCAGAGGCCACTTGAGCGGCAAACACTTTTGCTTTTCTCTCCGGTATAGGGCCATTCTTTTGTACAAATTCGGTCAAAGTTTCTCCCTGGACAAAATCCGAGACAAAGCAATAGCTAAAACATAAAACTTATTACTTCACAGAGCACAAATTATTATAAATAACTCACGAGAAAAGAGAAAAAACACTTACGCTGTGTCAGTTTGCAGGAATCGAATCAATCTGACAATGTTTGGATGGGCGGACACGCAATTCCAAACGATTGTTTCTCTCCGGATTTCACCAAACTATAAATAAATTAATGATGATTACACACGAAATATAAATTTTAAATATTGTTTAAATATTACTAATGTAAATTCATAAAACACTGATTACTCTTATTCTCAATATACTATTAAAAATTATTATTGTTTTAATATATATATATATTTAGTGATTAGTGTGTATATTCCGGAAATTGTTCTTAATCCCCTTAATATTGATAATTTTTGTTAAAAAATACCTGATTAGAAGAAGAGACTTTCTTCTTTACGACTTTTAAAGCCTTTTTCTTTCTAGAATATTTGGTCTTAGCCAAATAAATAGTCCCAAAACTTCCACGTCCAATTTCTTTAGTAATTTTGTACTTGCCAATATAATATTTGGCTTTATCGAAACGGTCGTGTTCTTGCTTTGAATCTGCGAGTTTCTTTTCCGGTTCGTAAGTCTACAAAATTATAAAAATGATTATTTATTTATAAAATTTGCTAATGGAAGGAAGACAGAAGGAACGAAAACTTACTTCGGAACCAGAAATCTCGCCTGAAATGCAACAACACAACAAAAATTTATGGAATAAATTAGTTAAAAATCCCATAAACTTTCCTTTCTTCTGCTTATTTGCTTGCAACTGCGACTCGTCTAGATTCGAGAAGTCACATTTTGTTGCAGGCGAATCTTTGCCATTCTACGAAACATCAAGGTAAAAATTATCGATGTTTGCAAACGTTATCGTTTTAAAATTAATCAAAAAATCTTCGTTATCTTAATCTACTCAAAGAAAAATTTCGATATTCTTACAGAGAAATCAATGGTTTACCTGAAATGAGCAATCTTTATTTTCCTGAACACTCGGTTCAGAATCTTCTCTCCTACTACAGAGAAACTATATTAATTCTTACATAATATTAAAGAATAAATAAACACAATTTCTGATTAAATTTACCTTTTCTTCTTCATTTTATTTCTCGAAATTCGCGAAACAACTTTTTCGGCGCAGCGAAACATTACACTCAACAATAGCAACTCGACAATTCAACTCGAAAGTATTGTTGAAAAATTTATTGTAATGACGCCATATTAATAAATTTTATATTTTTTTATACGCTTTAAATTAAGGACTTTTTATGAAGTTTATTGTGGGTGCGGCTAGACCCGCTATGAGGCAAAGTAATGGGCGACTGCATTCTTCATATGCAGGACAGACCATTTTTTAGAAATATTGGAATTTTTACTTCGAATTGGAATCGTCACCCTTAATCGTTCGATAAATGTTTCGTCACTCCATTTTACTGTTAAATACTGCCAACATGAAGTGTTTATAATTTCAATGGACTTTTTATTTATAAAAATCTGCTCGTAGTCTTAATATAAACTTATATAGTTTATTCTTAATTAATTATTCAATTGTGTTAAAATCACAATTAAATGTATATATTTCGAAGTTCTAAAATCTTGTTTTTAACAATTTGTTAATAAAATGTTGTTTTCATTGTCGACTGCGCCATACAAGGTTTCGATATGATGAGCGCGAACGTTATTGAAAAAAAACGAACATAACACAACTATTAAATAAGTGATATGACTTATTTAATAGTTAATGCCGACTGAAACAGCAAGATATAGTTCGTTGTAAGACAGTAAATTTGTATCAAAATATTTTATAGATAACACAAGAACGTGCTAAAAATGNATAGTTTATTCTTAATTAATTATTCAATTGTGTTAAAATCACAATTAAATGTATATATTTCGAAGTTCTAAAATCTTGTTTTTAACAATTTGTTAATAAAATGTTGTTTTCATTGTCGACTGCGCCATACAAGGTTTCGATATGATGAGCGCGAACGTTATTGAAAAAAAACGAACATAACACAACTATTAAATAAGTGATATGACTTATTTAATAGTTAATGCCGACTGAAACAGCAAGATATAGTTCGTTGTAAGACAGTAAATTCTTATCAAAATATTTTATAGATAACACAAGAACGTGCTAAAAATGTTAATATAATATTGATTATTTTATTCCGCATTTTCAAAGTTAAACAATAAAAATTAAAAGACGAGTTATCGTATTAAATTAAGGAAATTGTCATGATATAGAAAAGTTTGCGCTCGCAACTAAGAGTATTAATCGTTTCTCGCATTCAGAAACATGTATTTTCTTGAATGCTTTTGAATCACTGGAAATTGCTCTGTAACAGGTACAATTTGTATAAATAACAATAATTGTGTTAAATGCTAATTTATTTTTGATAAATAAACAATTTTATTACGTTCAAAATAAATAATTATATCAGGCTTATTTTTCTTTAATTCTTGCATCTTATTAAACGATTGTTATTTAATTGATTTAAAGATTTATAAAATTGTTTAAATATATAACGTAATTCATCGTATGTTCNGAGAGTCAAAATCGGTAAAGGTCAAATCCTGGGCAGTCAAAATCGATGTAAGTCAAATTTTGGAGAGTCAAAATCGGTAAAGGTCAAATCCTGGGCAGTCAAAATCGATGAAAGATCAATTTCAGTGAGAAGCATTAAACAAAAGTTCTGTGAAAATAAAATAAAAGTTACTAAGAATCTCATCTACAAATTTTAATCATTTTTAAAATAATAACTTTATTTGTTATTAAGAAACTGAAAACACATTGCTGCCTTGTGTGATTTATTAAGTACTAAATATAAGTTATTGTGAGTGTCAACGTTTTACAACCATCCTGTAATAACATTTAAGTCACTAAACAGAGTAACTGAAAATCTTATCTTTACATCCATTTTTGTTATTTTGCAGTGTTACGAGACAAGTACATTCCCAAGATTTTGTCTCATAGAGAGCAGATGGTATAAATTGACAAACCGATTAAATAAAATTATGGTTCTTAAATAAATTTCTTCTACTTATGTTAATCTTTTTTATCTTCGTAATAAACGCGTAAAACACTAGCAAATAGCGTAGCTTCTCATAGTATTAAAAGAGAAACATAGGGTCTATCTCGTCGCACGATAATATTGGTTACTGTGTTTCGATGCATAGGCAATTAAAATAAATTTACTCTTACAGACTTCACCGATTTCTAAAATTATTTTTCTAATAAAAAAATGAATATCTTAGGAGAGACAAATGACTTTCCAGGTCTCTGCTTGACTGGGCGCTTGTTACGTAAGTATATCATCAAATCACTAGCGATTTTAGGATATTTGAGGCCTTAGCTAGATATTGAAACATAAGGCACATTTATATAAATGTATACAATGTAAAGCCGTACGATACGATTTCTTGTAAGATTTAAGATCTTTCCAAATACAATACTGGATTCCGGATTTGGACCAATACAGAGTATCGACAATAATACATATGTAATGCTCGAGACCCTAAAAGTCTAGTTATGTATATAACATCGCAATAGCATTAATCTGCTTCTACGTTTTGTCTTGTTCATGTCGTCATTTAATTATGTGTTGTTTGTACAACTGGACCATCGACTGTGTAAATTTTAGTATTTATAAAGTGAGAGTGTAAAATTTCTATTCAGTTTATCAGTAAGATTTTCAATTTAGTTTACCGTTGAAAAATCTTTAGTTTTTCAGTTTTAACTTATATCTTTATTGAATTGGATATAACACTTGTTTGGATGAAGAGTAAACCGTCAAATCTCGATATACCGCATTCCAAACAGCGCCAAAGAATACGGGAAAATTATGTGATTCTCGTCAAATCACATAACTTCTGAACTCAAATTTATGTGTAGATTTTAATACTATATGTTGATATTTGAGGAATTTTAGTTTACTGCCACACTCGAATTAGTGCTAATTTGAGAGGCGAAAAAGTGACGCAGCTAAATCGAACTTTGATTAAATGAGCATAGAAATACGTACCTCTTAACCGGCTTCCACATTGATTTCAAGAAAGATCCGAACTTCATTTTCAGTTTATTCTGCCGAAAACCCTAAGTCTGAAAATACAAAAACAAATCAGTTGTTTTATTTCGTAAAGTGACATTCAAATGCGATATTGGAAAATAAAACATACAATTTTGGGCCAAGGCACTTTATGAAAATACTCGTGTTCTCTTATATTTACTTCTAGAGGACGTCTGCACGGGTCCTGAAATGATCGAAAACAAAAGTAATTAATTCAAATTTACTATTCGAATGATTATATTTTCGTCTGTGTGTTATTTCCGATAAGACAAATGTTATTAAACTAATTAGCAGCACGTCATTAAACATTTACTTAATGATATGAAACGAGTTTTCGACATTTTATTGAATATCATCAGTGAATTAATTATAAACAGATTTATGAAAGTCCACAGAAAGACCGTATGATTACAATTAACGATATTAATTGAATGAATGCTTTTCATACAAGAAAAAACACAAAATTTGCCGTATATAATCATTGTTTTTGGCAACAGAGAAAAGTCGAATGTAGATACATAAGAGAATTACATGCTCCGGTTTGTAAATAAATGTCATTTCGTGCATAAAACGGGGAGAGACAAATCTGAATTTGTTAAGTACAATTAAGTACAATCTTACCTTTTGCAATAGGTCATAAATAAAATGTCTGGCATCATCCGATAACCCAGGAGGATATGACACCTTCACATTTAGAGCAGCTGCAAACGCATTTTAATATTAATTATCTTATATTGCTATTATTATTATTGAATTAATAATTTTGATACATTACCTCTTATCCGGTCGTAACGGGGCAATAAATACACGTTATCAATATCGAAAGCTTCTTTCACATAAATCTCTAGAGGAGTTCGTCCAACCAACGCTTGAAATAACACGATGGCGAAAGCCCACCAGTCACAGAAAAAATCTACAAACAATACATTCATTAATACATCCAACAATATGATACAATGATTTGAAAGTACAAATGTGAAAGTACAAGTCCTTACCGTAAGGCTTTCTCTGGAGAATTTCCGGACACATAAATGATAAAGTTCCACAAAAATCTCTTGGATTTCGTTCGTACTGAAAGAAATAATAATAAAATAGTTAAGAGATCGATAAAAATCTACAGTTCAAGAATATTACAATGTATAATGCTTACTGTGGATAGACCGAAATCAATTACTTGTGCACCTTTGTACACATCTAACATAACGTTGTTTGAACTAATGTCTCGGTGTATTATTCCTATTCAAAATAAAAACATTACTTTGCCACTCTTTACACATTTCTGGACTAAACAAGCAAATAAATCTACAGCGAATAACTACCATTACTATGAATATACATAATAGCAGAGGCCACTTGAGCGGCAAACACTTTTGCTTTTCTCTCCGGTATAGGGCCATTCTTTTGTACAAATTCGGTCAAAGTTTCTCCCTGGACAAAATCCGAGACAAAGCAATAGCTAAAACATAAAACTTATTACTTCACAGAGCACAAATTATTATAAATAACTCACGAGAAAAGAGAAAAAACACTTACGCTGTGTCAGTTTGCAGGAATCGAATCAATCTGACAATGTTTGGATGGGCGGACACGCAATTCCAAACGATTGTTTCTCTCCGGATTTCACCAAACTATAAATAAATTAATGATGATTACACACGAAATATAAATTTTAAATATTGTTTAAATATTACTAATGTAAATTCATAAAACACTGATTACTCTTATTCTCAATATACTATTAAAAATTATTATTGTTTTAATATATATATATATTTAGTGATTAGTGTGTATATTCCGGAAATTGTTCTTAATCCCCTTAATATTGATAATTTTTGTTAAAAAATACCTGATTAGAAGAAGAGACTTTCTTCTTTACGACTTTTAAAGCCTTTTTCTTTCTAGAATATTTGGTCTTAGCCAAATAAATAGTCCCAAAACTTCCACGTCCAATTTCTTTAGTAATTTTGTACTTGCCAATATAATATTTGGCTTTATCGAAACGGTCGTGTTCTTGCTTTGAATCTGCGAGTTTCTTTTCCGGTTCGTAAGTCTACAAAATTATAAAAATGATTATTTATTTATAAAATTTGCTAATGGAAGGAAGACAGAAGGAACGAAAACTTACTTCGGAACCAGAAATCTCGCCTGAAATGCAACAACACAACAAAAATTTATGGAATAAATTAGTTAAAAATCCCATAAACTTTCCTTTCTTCTGCTTATTTGCTTGCAACTGCGACTCGTCTAGATTCGAGAAGTCACATTTTGTTGCAGGCGAATCTTTGCCATTCTACGAAACATCAAGGTAAAAATTATCGATGTTTGCAAACGTTATCGTTTTAAAATTAATCAAAAAATGTTCGTTATCTTAATCTACTCAAAGAAAAATTTCGATATTCTTACAGAGAAATCAATGGTTTACCTGAAATGAGCAATCTTTATTTTCCTGAACACTCGGTTCAGAATCTTCTCTCCTACTACAGAGAAACTATATTAATTCTTACATAATATTAAAGAATAAATAAACACAATTTCTGATTAAATTTACCTTTTCTTCTTCATTTTATTTCTCGAAATTCGCGAAACAACTTTTTCGGCGCAGCGAAACATTACACTCAACAATAGCAACTCGACAATTCAACTCGAAACTATTGTTGAAAAATTCATTGTAATGACGCCATATTAATAAATTTTATATTTTTCTTATATGCTTTAAGAAGGCCTTTTTTTGAAGTTCATTTTGGGTGCGGCTAGACCCGCAATGGGGCAAAATAATGGGAGACTGCATTCTTCATATGCAGGACAGACCATTTTTTAGAAATATTGGGATTTTTACTTCGAATTGGAATCGTCACCCTTAATCGTTCGATAAATGTCTCGTCATCCCATTTTATTGTTAAATACTGCCAATATGAAGTGTTTATAATTTCAATGGACTTTGTATATATAAAAATCTGCTCGTGGTCATAATATAAAGTTATATAGTTTATTCTTAATTAATTATTCAATTGTGTTAAAATCACAATTAAATATATATATTTCGAAGTTCTAAAATCTTGTTATTAACAATTTGTTAATAAAATGTTGTTTTCATTGTCGACTGCGCCATACAAGGTTTCGGTATGATGAGGGCGAACGTTATTGAAAAAAACGAACATAACACAACTATTAAATAAGTGATTTAATATTTTAAGCTTATCGGCTAGAACAGACAAAGATATGGACTTTCAAACATGGCGATCTGTGGCGACAACGGCGCCGCTACTAAACAAAACAAAATGAGACCTTACATTTAATATCTGCACATTGTGTAGTACAACGTAGTCCAGCCGATAGTCAATATTTTTCCCCAAAATTCTTCATAAAGCACTCATAATTCGACTTTGCGGCTTTTGCAAATTCCTTGGCAATGATGGCACGCAGATAGTGTCTTTCACAAACTCTGTGAAAAGGAATCACAGTTCCGGGGACCTGATTGGCTAGTAAATTAAAGAATTGTCATTGAGCCTATAGCGTTCGATCCATGCCTGAAAAAGTTCTGATATCATTTTGGTTTTGTACATATTAACCTAAGTTGAAATAACCTGAAAGACATACAAGGATTTAAAATTCAAAAATTGCGATTTATTCTCACATCTACTTTTCCGCTAGTCAACTTAATGCCGACTGAAACAGCAAGATATAGTTCGTTGTAAGACGGTAAATTTGTATTAAAATATTTTATAGATAACAGAAGAACGTGCTAAAAATGTTAATATAATATTGATTACTTTATTCCACATTTTCAAAGTTAAACAATAAAAATTAAAAGACGAGTTATCGTATTAAATTAAGGAAATTGTCATGATATAGAAAAGTTTGCGCTCACAACTAAGAAAATTAATCGTTTCTCGCATTCAGAAACATGTATTTTCTTGAATGCTTTTGAATAACTGGATATTGCTCTGTAACAGGTACAATTTGAATAAATAAAATAACTGTGTCAAATGCTAATTTATTTTTGATAAATAAACAATTTTATTACGCTCAAAATAAATGATTATATCCGGCTTATTTTTCTTTAATTCTTGCATCTTATTAAACGATTGTTATTTAATTGATTTAAAGATTTATAAAATTGTTTAAATATATAACGTAATTCATCGTATGTTCATGAAATCTTATCGATTCTATAATAACAGTTTTTCTATTGAAACTTCATGATATATAATTATCATGAATCAGCATTTAAAATATAATAACAAATAGAATATAGAATTTTTGTAAAATAATAGCAAGATGTCACAGACTGTATTCCGTATTTCTTGAACAGTTATGAAATGTCTTATTAGGAAGTACTGTACAACTGTTCAAGTACAATGCACAACAGTCAATGATCGTCTATGACTATAGCTTTTACAGCGAAATCTTTGTCAGAATCTTTAGACAAACACAAATAAATGGTTTCATAAGTTTATTTTAGTGTCAGTCAAACACCATGAAATATGAACGTCAATACATTTTTTTTGTTATCAAACAAAAAGGAAACAAAATTACTAGGCTACGACATGGTCGTATTCGCTCGCTACAATCTCGATGTTTGCAGACAAAACTATTTTTATACATTTTTCTCATAATCTAAGCAACCAAATGCAACAACCTGCTTAGGAAAAGAATTCTCTACGCGATGCTGTAATGTAAAACAGCCAAAAATCTGGATAAGCTATAAGTTTTTTGAAGCATAGGCAAACGAAACTTTTTGTTGGGCAAGCGTGGTCAAACGAAAGGCACCGATTACTTTAAAAAACAGATTTAAATCGTAATTAAGATTAATTTGAATTTTACAACAGCAAAAACATTATCAACTTCTTGTGATTTTAGAATCAACACACGAAAAATCAAATAAAAGCATTTATTAGACAACAAGATGTTTACAAACAGAAAGATTCTTTTCCGATTCACATCACATGATAAAATTCGACTGGATCTACGTTCTTAAATTCTTAAAGCTGATGCAGTCGAGAAAATATCTCCTTGAAGGGTTTTGAATTAATTGAAATTGCCCTTCTTCAAATGCTTTATGTTTACTTTTAAAGAAATCCTTTCGTAAATCAATTCCTTCACACTTTCACACGCTTTTAAACATAAAAATCCACTATCCGTAACCTAAAACGATAAATAATACTTAGCAACGTTTATTTGAATTTTCATTTTCGTGATAAAAAATTGCACGTACAATTTCCGAATATTTAGCAAACTTTGTCTTGACAATTTCGGTAGACGCTAATTATTCCAGAGATATTGCTTCCATCCGTCTTTTCTTTACTGTATTAACGTTTCTTGAGTTTATTAGACATTTAATGTACTGTATTTAGATAAGGTTCCAGAATTGAAGATACCGAAGATTAAATTCTAGATGTTTTCATTTTGACGTAATTCAGAGCAAATTTCCGTTCGCAAGACACAATAAGTAATAAACAGAACCAGGATGCTCCAAATTCGAAAATGAAAACAATTCGGGATTCAAATTTAGTGGATAGACACAATCCGGTATTCAAGTTCGAGTATATTTGAAATGACGTAGTCAAAATCCTTTAAAGGTCAAAATTTAAAGAGTCAAAATCGGTAAAGGTCAAATCCTGGGCAGTCAAAATCGATGAAAGATCAATTTCAGTGAGAAGCATTAAACAAAAGTTCTGTGAAAATAAAATAAAAGTTACTA